AAATTGTCGGATTCTGTCTGCTTGCTCATCCACTTCACGCCGAGCTTCCCTGGGGCAGTGGGCGTGTGTGAACCACGGGCTGGGGCGGGAAGAGGGGGAACCATTTAACTACTCCATCGATCAAGTCCACACACATCTCCCCCTTCGGTAAAGGACTGCTGCCAAAACTTTTGGCACAAACACCGATTAATGCCAGCGATACGACGACATTCAGTGGGGTGGCGGTGTGGCCAAAGCCAGTCGGTTGGGTGTAGGCCTCGTAGTCAGAATCTTTATTTATCCAGGAGAAATCCGATGAGCTATGAAGCTCTTTTTCACAGATGTCCAGTACACCTATGGATGTCCAGTACACCTATGGGTAGGTACATGCAGTGGTTTGAAACGGGAATATATTAGTACGCGCCTCTCCCAGAATGCGCTGATCCCATCAGCCCTCGGATGCTACGCAGGCTTGAACCTGCTTTGCGTTTGAATGGGTGACGGGCATTGTGGGCAGCAGAGGACGGCATGTATGAACGCATGTATGTTTAACTTCTTTAGCACCGTACGTAGCCAACCATGCTAATCGGAGGCGCCGCAGAAGGACAGCAAGCCAAACACAAAAAGCAGAATCCACTGCTGTTCCCTACTTTTTATTACTCCCACTATGCGCCAAGCCTTCACCAACGCACACCGACCGCCATGGTGAAGTATGGCGAAACAGTCCTCATGCTCCGCGTGGGCGAGGCCTTCACCCGGCAATGGATTGGACAAACGCGCCGTGCATCTAGGCCTAGAGTAGATGTACGGTTAGGTGCACGCTGGGGTAGGTGCACGCGGGGTTGGTACATGAAGGGATTTCATCTGTGGGCTTGCGTGAAGGATATGAGCACAGGGAACTGCACACTGCTTATCCAATCACACACGGACGCTTCGTTATAGCGTTAATATCATGGGTAAAAAATAGACATGCACGTGACGGATAGAAAATTACGACCAACGACAGGGTTATTACCAGTGTATTACTTTCCGGGGACGATAAATTAATTGTTTCACCCGGGGCATCGTTTACATTAGTGCTGGGCCTGCGTTAAACCCTTTATCTGTGGTGTTTCACGAGGCTCAGTCCTTTTGTCATCTCACGGTCTCTGTTTATATCCCCCACCCCACCGCCGCCACGCAAAGTCATTTCAAGTTTCAATGTCAACCACGGTTTTTTTGTGATGTCGACAGCATAGAAATGTTCGCTCATTCTCTTTGTCTCGCCTGCCTTTCCTGTGCGCCTGCCTCCACTGTTGTCACGGCAACTGAATACTCATCAATGCTGAGCTCCTGCAGATGAGCAAGAAGTCTGTCCTTGCTGATGATTCAACCCCTGGTTCGCTGAACGCTGACGACGATAGGATCACCAACACCTGTTTCGACTCGGTGGGGCTTCCACGATTATCTGAGTTTAGAATCAGAATATTTATTCATACTGGAGGAATCAGATGAGCTATAAAGCTCTTTTTCACAGATGTCCAGTAGGGGCGGGTCAGGACGTTATAACAACAAACAACACAAAAACGTGATAGGAGTGCAAAGTATAGGAAAGGTAAACAAATCACAAAAAATACCACTAAACTCTGTTTTATTTTACCAGGTAAAGCCCCACTGAGCTATTAGCTTCTTTTTTCAGAAGCAACCTGGCCACAAACGATAGCTCAACGAAGTGGCTTGTTACGTGGAAATTTAGAGCAGCCAGATAATAACAAAAAATCTTAGCACATCTTTGTAATTGTGGAGGGAAAAACCGGAGGACCCGGAGAAGAAAATCCACACCACCACGGGGAGAACATGCAAACTCCGAATGCAAAGGCGTTGAGGGTCAGGATCGAACCCCCGACCTCCTGCATGGCAGGCGAGCTATCACGTGAGTTGGGCAGAGGCTACCTTTTTCCCGCTTCGCCCAAATTGTCACGTAGCATTCAGACAGAGGCTGGAAAATTTGGGCCCGCTGCGCGACTTGCCAGCTGACCAGAGACCAACAACTTGCAAACGCGGTGGTGGGAGTAAACCCAATTGTGCAATCTCTTCTGTGATCTACAGAAGAGATTGTGCAAATGCATATCTGTCAACGATCCAGTGCCTCCTCCCTCCGCAGGAACTCTTCCAACCGTTCCACACCTCCCTGCCCTCCCAGGGCCCATTGCGACCGCCAGCCGCTGCCCCTCCCCCCTCCGCCGTGCGAAGCGTTTTAGAGGCGTCAGCCACATTTAGGCGCTCGTCAGGGAATACGCGTGAGGTTTTTATGCGATAACAACGAGACATGGGATTCCACATCTCTCTACGCAGAGCTTTGGAATTGAAGGACAGATAAATAAAAGCCACACCACCGCCTTCATTCACGCTGCCATGCAACAGAAGATTATATAGTAGGCTAATGCAGTAGTTCTCAGTCTTTATATTTTTGGGCCCCTCCACCCCCCAATCAAGACCACTGGTGCCTGCGGCTCCTGCCCTCCCCCGCTCCCGACCCCACCCCTCCTCTCCTCATGGTTCCTTATGCCACAGTGCACAGAGAGATCGCATGTCCACGCCTCTAGACAGTGGTGTGTTAGTAAGGCATTCGTTTCACGTTGTGCAGTTGTGCGATTTGTCATCGAAAATGTTCGCTGGGCACTTGCTAAATTTTTCCTGCGCGGTACCCGTGCTGCGGGGATTTGTGGGGTTGTGGTGGTGCGGGAGGGAGGGATCCGTGGGTTGAGAACTGCTGGGCTAACATTTTGGGCAGTGGCATTTCTAAACTAAACTCCACTAAACTATTTGTTTTTTACCAGGTAAAGCTCACTGAGCTATAAAGCTCTTTGTCAGAGGCGACCTGGTCACAAATGATAGCTCAACGGAGTGGCTTATCACATGGACATTTTATAGCAGCCAAATATTTTCTTAATGGAGAGGAAAAACCGGAGGACCCGGAGAAAAATCCACGCGATCACGGGAAGGACATGCAAATTCCAAATACACTGCAGGCGTCAGGGTCGGTATCAAACCCACGACCTCCTATACACCAGGCGAGGTAGCTAACATCTCACCACTGTGGCGAGCATCACTGAACATTGGGCAAGCGAGAGACGGACAGTTTTGCTGACTCGATCGATTCTCCCTGCTTGCCTAATCGCCCCAGCACAGTGTTCCCTTGGGAGCGGGTGTGTGCATGCAAGTGAGAACAATTTAACCATTTTATGAGTGATCCCGTAATCCCCACACACAGCTGTCCGAAGGCAGTTCAGTGACCCTTCTTCATAGCGACATAACAAGAATGGGTGGAGGGAATTGCTTGAAGCGTTCGCCCACCGTAATAACGTTGTTTTAACCAATGCCTTGTTAATTGTGACCGTGATGAATTACCACGTGCCAGTAGGCAACTAAAATAAACAACGGAGAATTAAACACTGAAATGCTAATGCAATCAACTTGCGAATACATTAAAACGAGAGTGTGATTCCTAGTCACTCCGTCGCCACGAGAAGACGAGAATTAATTGACACGAAGGGACGCGGCAGGCAGCCGCGTGGAGGAGGTCACATGATTGGATTCGCTGGCCTGTGTCAGATCTAGCGGGCACCAACTCAAAATGTGTAACAATGCGGACGTCTGGAATAAACGCCTCCTTTAAGACCCAATCGTAACACCTCCTGGCTATGACGTTCCTTGAAGACACCGTTGGTGGAACCATCAACTCACTCACTCATGCACGCACCGATGATGTAACCGTCAACCGCATAAGAACATCAACAGGCCACTTTACACACATCTCCTTCATAAATAGTAAAGACGCAAGTCGTGCGATCGTGGCCATGCAACCCAAACTATAGGCCGCATAGCACACCACTGTAGTTTGCACTAAATTCAATGGAGGAGGAATGGCAAAACTACACCAACTCTCTCCTGATGCCCTCTTGTGGCTATCAGGCCTCGACATTTGCGTTTACCTCCGAAACATATTGCCATATGCAACGATAAAAACGGGTAACCGTTTATATAGCCAATATTTATTGTGTGGAAGATGTCTGGCCTATCGCTGCACACCAACTTTTGCATCTGCTCTGCCACAGTCGTGCCATATCTTCTTGGTGTTTGTGAAGTGTAGACTCCCTCGCTGGCTTTAAGCATGCAGGTTGGCCTCCCTTATGATCCATCGTGGGTTTGTCTGAATTGGGATCGTTTCAGGAGCTCACAGATCCACGAGTGATCTGGACAAGTCCCATTGTTGAGCTCCTCCGGCAGCTGAAGATATCTTCGGCTGGGTCAGACAATGTCCGGTTAGCTCCTCTTGTTTGGCTGGATAGACAGAGATGATTGAACATTGCACAGGCTTTAGGTGAAATGGTCTTACGTCGTATAACAAGACCAAGTAGTGAGCAGGTTAGCTGACAATTTATACCTTTAATTTCAAGAGCGGCCTCTGGAGGGGGAATGTATGTATGTATGTTGAACTTCTTTAGCACCGTACGTACCCAACCGTGCTAATCGGAGGTGCGGGATAATCGGAGGTGCGGCTGATGTGAATGATATTATTGAGTGGCTGGTGGCAGTTTGCCTTTTAGAACCCATTGAAGGCAAAGAAAGGTTGCGCACGAGAACGAGCGGAACATCACGTGGCCAAAACACGGCAAGTTGACACAGTGGGAATTTACCGGTGGCGCATTTTGCAAGTCGTCCAGTTCGGTTGACGGGTGCTCGCTAACGCCACTTGCCTCACCAAGTCCGTACGATGGCTACGCGGGGGATTCTTTTGTTGTTTTGTTTCGTGTACAGTGCAGATGGCCCCATGTGGGACGCATCAAACTCTGCGTACAAGAATAACTTGTACGTGATGCGATGCCTCCATCTGTTGTCAATTCTGAGTGTGGCCCTTGTGTGTGTAATTAAATATCAAATGTTAATACTGTTCGTGTTTTTGTCTGCGCAACCCCCCACCACCCCTTACTCTCCCCCCACCCAACGCAACATTTTGTTTGGCCCACTCGCGTTTGAAGACTGCGGCGGTGACCGCATCGACAATGCGGGCGCTGTCTTGAAAAGAGGAAGGGCTCCCGTCGCCTGCGATCGAGCGACGCTGTAGCCACACGGGCACTGCCGTCTTCCGCCGGCTTCAGGTAAAACCGGGGCTTCGGTGGTGGTGGTGGTCGTTGTTGTAGTCGTTGTTGTTGTTGTTGTCGTCCTCATTGTGTACGTCATCCTCGTCACCCGTCACGCAGCGGAGCGGGGCGGGGCGTGCGATGGATGAGGTGCCCCCCTGCCCACAAGCGCCGTGGTCAACCGCCACTTAGCGAATGGCAGTTTGTCATTATTGTGAAGTAGACGACACGTACATTATGAGACCTCCTTTGCCAGTAACAAGATATAGTAATAGGTTTTACCCTTTTAACTGGCACAAAAACTGACACCTTTATTCAAGGCATCATGTTTGCAATAACCACAACACAAGCAGTCAAAATGCAAACAAAAGAGACAACTCTGATAATAATATGCTTTTCTTAGAGCCTAGTCTCCACTGGTGTTGGACCAGAATAAAGGTGTCAGTTTTTGTGCCAGTTAAAAGGGTAAAACCTATTACTATATCTTGTTACTGGCAAAGGAGGTCTCATAATGTAAATGCTCACCCCGAGCCCTCAATACTCTGATAGTGCGCTGTTTTTGAGTTGTACGCCTTTTGGCGTCTTCTGGTCCAACACCAGTGGAGACAAAGCTCTAAGAAAAGCCGTCTCGGGTGTGGACCAATCAAATTCAAGGACAGTGCATATTATTATCAGAGTTGTCTCTTTTGTTTGCATTTTGACTGCTTGTGTAGTGGTTATTGCAAATACGATGCCTTGAATAAAGGTGTCAGTTTTTGTGCCAGTTAAAAGGGTAAAACCTATTGCTAGACGACACGTATTTACACGGTCAATAGACTCACAGTATTAATCAGGGCGGTCGGCGGGCTCGAACCACGAACCTCAGAAACACAGCGTCAAAATGAGCTACCGGTTCTTTGCGCACCGTACGTAGCCAACCATGCTAATTGCTCTCCCGCATTGTGTCGTTCTTGTGACTTCTTGAAACCATGCTAGCAATGCGCCAGGCCCGAGGGCCGTGTCTCGCCAACGATGGCGTGATGTCTAGAACGGTTCTCAGTTGACTTGTCTGTGGGCCTGCGCATTGAAGACGGTTGCTTCCTTTTAGTTGTGATCATCCCGTTAACAGTCGGTATCATCACAGGGTTCGCCGTGGCAATTGTTGCGTCATCTTAAAAGCGTAAACAATGTGAGTTATGCATGTGAGAATCGCCGTATGTTTTAAACGGTGATTATTTTTGTTCTAAATGCTGCCATCGGTCATCTCACGATCGGAAGGGATCTCTTTTCATGGCTTATTCATATCAGAATTAGAATCTTAATTTATACTGGAGCAATCCAATTAGCTATGAAGCTCTTTTTCACAGATGTCTAGTAGGGGCAGATCTGAAAGCTACAACAACCGGTAGCATGCTTGCATATCCGCCTGATCATGTAACCGATGCTGGGGATCGTATATATATTTTGCTTACACCTGCGCGTGTACAGTGAGGGAAAAAAAGTATTTGATCCCCTGCTGATTTTGTACGTTTGCCCACTGACAAAGAAATGATCAGTCTATAATTTTAATGGTAGGTTTATTTGAACAGTGAGAGACAGAATAACAGCAACAAAATCCAGAAAAACGCATGTCAAAAATGTTATAAATTGATTTGCATTTTAATGAGGGAAATAAGTATTTGACCCCCTCTCAATCAGAAAGATTTCTGGCTCCCAGGTGTCTTTTATACAGGTAACGAGCTGAGATTAGGAGCACACTCTTAAAGGGAGTGCTCCTAATCTCAACTTGTTACCTGTATAAAAGACACCTGTCCACAGAAGCAATTAATCAATCAGATTCCAAACTCTCCACCATGGCCAAGACCAAAGAGCTCTCCAAGGATGTCAGGGACAAGATTTTAGACCTACACAAGGTTGGAATGGGCTACAAGACCATTGCCAAGCAGCTTGGTGAAAAGGTGACAACAGTTGGTGCGATTATTCGCAAATGGAAGAAACACAAAAGAACTGTCAATCTCCCTCGGCCTAGGGCTCCATGCAAGATCTCACCTCGTGGAGTTGCAATGATCATGAGAACGGTGAGGAATCAGCCCAGAACTACACGGGAGGATATTGTCAATGATCTCAAGGCAGCTGGGACCATAGTCACCAAGAAAACAAATGGTAACACACTACGCTGTGAAGGACTGAAATCTTGCAGCGCTCGCAATGTCCCCCTGCTCAAGAAAGCACGTATACATGCCCGTCTGAAGTTTTCCAATGAACATCTGAATGATTCAGAGGACAACTGGGTGAGTGTTGTGGTCAGATGAGACCAACATGGAGCTCTTTGGCATCAACTCAACTCGCCGTGTTTGGAGGAGGAGGAATGCTGCCTATGACCCCAAGAACACCATCCCCACCGTCGAACATGGAGGTGGAAACATTATGCTTTGGGGGTGTTTTTCTGCTAAGGGGACAGGACAACTTCACCGCATCAAAGGGACGATGGACGGGGCCATGTACCGTCAAATCTTTGGTGAGAACCTCCTTCCCTCAGCCAGGGCATTGAAAATGGGTCGTGGATGGGTATTCCAGCATGACAATGACCCAAAACACACGGCCAAGGCAACAAAGGAGTGGCTCAAGAAGAAGCACATGAAGGTCCTGGAGTGGCCTAGCCAGTGTCCAGACCTTAATCCCATAGAAAATCTGTGGAGGGAGCTGAAGGTTCGAGTTGCCAAACGTCAGCCTCGAAACCTTAATGACTTGGAGAAGATCTGCAAAGAGGAGTGGGACAAAATCCCTCCTGAGATGTGTGCAAACCTGGTGGCCAACTACAAGAAACGTCTGACCTCTGTGATTGCCAACAAGGGTTTTGCCACCAAGTACTAAGTCATGTTTTGCAGAGGGGTCAAATACTTATTTCCCTCATTAAAATGCAAATCAATTCATAACATTTTTGACACGCCTTTTTCTGGATTTTGTTGTTGTTATTCTGTCTCTCACTGTTCAAATAGACCTACCATTAAAATTACAGACAGATCACTTCTTCGTCAGTGGGCAAACGTACAAAATCAGCAGGGGATCAAATACTTTTTTCCCCTCACCGTATATCTCCCTCGTTCCGTTTGCTCTTTAGGCGAGCCCGGGCCCGCAGGAGAAGTGTAAAAAAGGGGGCATCGCCCGCTGCCTCTCCGACTGACCGACGGACGGTGCCGCCGATGGCCCCACGCAAGAGGGCGGTGGCGGGCGCTGGGCGGCGCCCGCTCTGCTGCTGGGCCCTCTGCTGCTGCTTCCGCGGCGGCGCGTGCGGCTGCCGTGGCGACGAGCCGCCCGAGATCACGTACGGCTTCGTGCAGGACAGCGCCTTCCCGCTGCAGCCCGCCGAGGAGGTGCCGCCACTGCCCTCCGCCGACGAGCTCAACGCCAAGTTTTCCGAGCTCGTGGTGAGAGGGCGCGGAGGAGAGGGTGGTTTTTTTTTGTTTCCTTTTTTCCCCCCAAACCATTCGTAATAAAAGTTTTTTTTTTGGGGTTATATCGCATACATATAAATGTGTCGTTAAACCCGCTACCACCTGACACGGCCAGTTCGTAAGGTTTATAACGTAAACGACGTGCCAATTAGTTACTACTTCAGCAAACTGCGGTCTGTTGGAGAGTAAACCCACAACATTTACAATTTGATTACGACGTTTCGCTGGTGATTACTACCAGTCTCATCGGGCGATTTTCCAGATTTGGAATTTTGCCAGAAGTGACAAACCTTACTAATTTTGCTGTGTTGCGTGGTGGCTGAATAACGACACATTGAAAACGTGCGTGATCTAACCCACAAACACCTTGATTGTGAACAATATTGGTCGCGAAAGCCTACGTGTTAAACAATCCCCATGCCGTTTGATTTTTTTGTTGCGATACTTTGCAAATGGGGAGCGACGTTTTACGCGACGCGCAAGGATCTGGGAGCACCTCTGTCTCTGCTCCCCTTGGTTTCTTCTAACCCCGTTGCTCGCTGCCACGATATATCTGCAGCCCGTTGTTATCCCATCTTGCTCACTAGCGGCGCTAACATAAGGGATCAAACGACGGTACAACTAGGGCAGGACCGCACAGCCTCAGCGCTGGATGGTGTGAAGAGCTTAACGGAGATTAGTTTGAAGTGTACAGTTTGAGAAACGTTACAGTACCATGTGCATTGAACAAGCGAGCCGTGCCGTTGTATTAATTGACAAAATTTACGACAATGGATTCCGGCTCTGGCTCCGGCTCGCGCAGAGGAACGGAGGACAGTTACAGCCTGGGGACAATCAGGGGGAGAGAGGGAGGGAGGGGAAAGGGTGGGCTGGGGTGGGGAGGGTAACCTGAGGACTTGAGCCGGTAGAACAAACGCGGCCTCACCCAGTTGGTATCGAGAGAGGGATTATACCCGCATAAGTGCACATCTGAGGATGGTTTGGGAAGGGGAGGGGGTCTTAGTTTTTGCTTTCCTTTGGTAACAATTTCACCATTTCAAGAGATCAACGTGCCTCCCGCACGCAAATGAGCGATGGGCAGTTCTCATTTCCTTTGTTGGTCCGAGACATCAGTTGAAGTGTCACGTTATCTGTGGGGGGGTGGGTAGGGGGTGGCGGTGGAGCAATCTCCGCTGAGGACCCCTCTCTTTGGAGAGTGCCACACTTGTTACTATCGCCAGTAAATCAGACCCCATCACCTTGATCCTCAGATCCCACCCCCCCTACTGGCTCCCAATCCGATCCCGGATTGACTACGTATGTACGCATGTAGAACTTCTTTCGCACCGTGCGTAGCAAACAATGCCAATCGACAGGCGTGGGGGAAGGACAACAAACTAAACACAAAAGGCAATTCTGAAGAAATTAGTTTTCAAACTGGATTCAAAAGTGCATAGCTACAGTGACGGAAGCATTCCAGACGGTCGCAGAAGCGCGCTTGAAAGCGCGCGACGCAGTGACCGTCTCTTTTCGATGGCCGGCTTCAAGCCGACGCTGTGAGATGTATCGGCGCTAGTGGTCACATCACTGTCAAACCGCATGTCAACGTCACTCTTGTCAGCTGTTACCCGGTGGCTTCATTGTTCGCTCGCTTTGTTACGTGTCAGCATAGTCGTTACTCATCGCTTCCCACGATCCGGGTCGGTGACACTCGACATTCTCGCGGACAATGTCAGCGTCGTAGCCATTGTAATCCACCGTCGGGTGAGTAATGCAGCCCGCGCTGTTGCCGTAAGACCGTGTAAAATGATTTGCCCTCCTCATTGTCATCTCCGCCAGCGATGTCAACGCCGTCGTTACGAGTGTCGTCGTCGTCGTCGTCGTCGTCGTCGCCGCGCCTATCCTGCGGCACGCGCCTCCCCCCGCCTTCGCGTCCCCGCCGCTCGGCAAAACTTTGCAGAAAAACAAAAAACTCTGCAGATCCTCTTCCTGGGAAAGCCCAGCAGTTGCACTGAAACCCCCCCCCACCCACCCACTCCACCGCCCACCTGAACCCGCACGTGGGCACCACACCCTTTCGTAAACCCCCTCCTTACATAATGCTTTGATAATGGTAACAGTTCCCTACTCCGGGCAGCTTTAATAAGCATATGCATCTTATATAATTTTCCACCATCTGTTTGGCCCTTCTTTTAACATCTCGACGGTAATGCCGCCACCATCCCGCTTTGAACTAAACGGCTCCAGCTGCTTCATACGATGGCCGTGCGTTGATGTTTCCCCCTGCTCATTCAAAGTGTTGATGTGCAGTCCGGCAATCGCGTACTCACGCCACTGCTAGTAGAAGGGCCTCCACTTGAGCAGAGTTTAGCTGAGCCTCTCTTGGGGGCATTTTATGACCTGCTTATTCCATGCTGGCCAGATGTGTTGGAAAATGTAGGAGTAACCACCCTATACCAAACACCACACATGAACGCCGGTCGGTTAACTATGATGCACCCATTTGCACAACTGGGTGGACAGAGGCAGGGAGATTTAACAAACTAGCGCCGTTGTTTGATTCGCCGCGGCAGGGAGATGGATTAGAACTGGCGACGTTTTGGACTCCCCAAGTCGAGTGTGCTAACCTTTACCCCCGCGGCGCCATCTCTCCTGTGAGACTTTGATGCACAAGCAGGCGATGGTTGTAATAAGTAGGAACACAAGCTGCGCCGGGAAAAATAGAATGGAACGAGACTTTCTTGAGCTTCGCTTTGGCAACCGTCTCAGGCTCGCTGGCAAGGAGGTCATGGCACACACCCAGGTGTTATGAGTTAATGGACTGAGATGACGGACCGATTCACCACCTGTCATTCCCACTGTCAATTCACATCCGTGCCACAACACAAAGGCAAGGATCCGCGTCTAGCCTACACAGTCTGTGGGGCAAGTGAAGTTCGTGAACAGCTGTGCAGGCTACGTGACGCACGGGGGGGGGGGGGGGCTGGTGTGGTCAGCACCACACCCTTGCCGCCTCCTCAGTGGTCATGTTTGCACACTGCACCAGTTACGCAATCGAAGCTTAGTCGACCTAGGCAAGGCCCCAATACCGGTTTACATGTGCGTCACTGATGTTTTTCACGAGCGGGAATCCAACTCGGCCCGCCGGGTTCGTGGCGCAGTGCGCTAACCGCTACAACTAGCGCTCGCCACGTGCCGCCACCACAATACACCGGCTCGTGCACGCGCAGTGCCACGCGTACGCGGTCTCGGAGGACGTTGACCTGGAGCGACAGCTTGTGACTGACTCTGTGTGACGAGGACCGCTCGAGAAGTCTCGTCACCGGGTGCCTCGTGGCAGACGCGACAGTTGCGGTTATTTCCGCTCCGTTGAGCCCTGGTGTTGCCGGTGGCGAGCGTTGTCCATTCTCTGAACCCTTTTTGTTTGTCGCGTGCATTTTTCCCCGTTGGCGGGCTTTGACATCCTTTGGCCAGGAGCTCGTGACTTCGAGTCGTTTGTCCTCGTAACGCTTCGGTGCAGCCCTCTTACCAAACGTCCCCTTTAATTTGGACTTGCGCGTTGTGCTGCTCTTATGCGAAGAGACAGACTCTTGTGTAATTTATCGATTGCGCTCGACTTTTTTTTTTCGTGGCTGTGCTCTTGGTGCGATGTCGCGAGACGGAGGATCCAGTCGGATCTCTCGCAGGCGAGTGCCGCCCTCTTTGTGAGAGAAAGGCCGACTGAAGCGGATCACATGATACATTCAAGTAACCTCTGATTTTTCAAGATCTCGCCACGGTGGCGAGATGTTAACTTACTCGCCTGGTATACATGAGGTCGTGGGTTCGACCCTGACACCTGTATATTTGGAGTTTGCGTGTTTCTCTCCCCGTGGTCACGCGGATTTTGCTCCTGGTCCTCCAGTTTTTTCCCCTCCACATTTAAAATCGACGTGCGTTTCGAGTATTTGTCTGCTATAAATTTCCACATGATAAGCCACTTGGCTATCATTTGTGGCCAGGTCGCTTCTGACAAAGAGCTATATAGGTCAGCGGGGCTTACCTGGTAAAATAAAAAAAATAGTTTTTCTATATTTTCGCAAGAAGTGGGCAGCAATCTCTCGCCCCCACCCTGCCACCTTCATCACATGGTAGTCAAACCGATGTTTTTTTTAATTCTCAGAGCTGGAATATAGCCAGATGAAATGCAAAAGTAAATTGAATGCCATGGGTTTATTTTGTGTGTGTGTGTGGTTATTGAGGATCAACTCATTACACACTTGAGGGACCTGGATTAGTCAGAGGTGGCTGCCTCGATTCGAACCCAGGGACTCGGTGTTACTGGCCCAGCCGTTCAGACTGCATAGCCACTTGGCCGCCTCAATCATTATGCTTAGCAGAGTTTCTTACATTTGGTACTTGCCCTATTGTTCACATGACACCATTGAAATCTCATTGGCTTGTGCGTATTTCCTGCTGTTGACATGAATACTCTGAAACCTGAAACACGGGGCAACATGTCAATGATGCCATTCGCAGCTTTTAATGTAAACATGACTTTTATATTGTTTTCATTCATGTTTTATTTTTTATGTTTTTTTTATTCAATATGACAGCGAAATTATGAATTGCTTCGGTTGCAGAGTCGCTATCGCGATGCCGCCATGGCTAACGTCAGTGGCAAGTGACCTCTCCAACGATAGTAGACACCGGTGATTCTTGTACCACCCTCGTCGTGTGTGCCGTGCCCGATATGTATTTCTATGTTGAACTTCTTTCGCACCATACGTAGCCAACCACGCTAATCGGAGGCGCGGGTGAAGAACAACAAACTATACACAAAAACTAATTTGAAAGAAATTAAGCTTTCAATGTAGATTTAAAAGTGTATAGCGCGAGTAGCTTCCTAATATCGGAAGAAAGAGCGTTCCAGACGGCCGCAGAAACGTATCTAAAAGCGCGCGATGCGGTGACCGTCTTCTGTTCCGAGGTTAGTCAAAAGCCGCTGCTGCTGCGAGGATGACCAGAGTTCGCGTGATGGTTTATGCTCCTTAACGAGGTCACCAAGGTATTGTGGCTCTCGTATGCGGCAAGCACTTTGTGCGTAGTGAGCGACGAGCGATTGTTTGTTGCCTTCGTCTCTCTTCCCAGGATGAGCTGGACCTGACGGAGAAGCACAGGGAGGCGATGTTCGCCCTTCCGGCCGAAAAGAAGTGGCAGATTTACTGCAGCAAGAAAAAGGTACCTGCTCACTTCTACCTTCTCCTCGTCTGCTTCGTGCCGTGTGAGGGCATGGCCGAGGTGTGTGGTCCGAGCCTCCTGGTTAACGCCGCTGGTGTTTTCACCTTGATCGCTATGCGCGCGCCCCCTGTTTCACGGTACACGTTTTACAGATCCAGCGATGTTATTTGAAAATGAGTAGGCCGTTGTCGTGCCGACGACACGGTCCAAATTTGAAATGTTACTCCGAAAATGTGCTCAATTGGGAGGACGCACAGCAACATTGCCCCCGCCCCACCGCCCTTCCCCCACCACTGAGAAATTACTGCAGGCTGCATCCGTGAAATACAGCGCCGTCGTGAGAGCCTTGTGCGATAAGCAGGGCGTGAATGCCAAACCTGATCATTATTTGATTTCATTCTCTGCCCTTCCTTGCCCTGGCATTTCCTATCCCATTATGCTTTACTCCAGTTTACCTTCTTCCCTTGCCTTAAATTGTACACGGTCGGTCCTTGTGTCAATCCACTGCCGATTGAACGCCTTCTCACCCTGTGCAGGTCGTAGGGTTATTTTAAAGCATATTTTACCACTCTGGTCAGTGCGGGTACACTGCCCAGCGTGGTAAAATATGCTTTATTTTAAAGCGTGGTAAAATATGCTTTAAAATAGAGACTTCGGGACCGGTTCAGGTATCCGCTCGCCACTGATGTTAACCGTGGGCGGGAATCGAAAAAACTACGGCCTCTGCGTTCATATTGCAGTGCGATAGCCACTGTTGGTTTAATGGGAATGCCACCGTTCTCAATAAATAAACATATACAAAATACACGTTGCGTTATTAACGCTTGGCTGACGGCACGGCAGGCCATCAGTTCTAGCACTCCAGCCCCGCGCCGCCATGGCAAACAAATGAAGAGACTACGCTGGGGTCCTAAGGCAGCAGTCGCCCCCTTCCCACCCCCCCACCCCCCACCCTCGAGTCTGTCGGCAAAACCTCATCAACCCGTCCGCTCCGCTGAGCGGACAGCAATGAGCGTCGTGTCTTGTAAATGCGACGCTTCACCACGTGGTTTGGGAGGAAAAGGGAACTCTGTGGCAGCACCTGTCAAAACATTGTTGGTGTGTGTGTGTTCCTGCTGGAGTGCGCATGTGGTGTAGATACAGCTTAGTTTGTAGACACCGGGATATTGCATGTCAAGAATCTTGTCCTTCACAGATGGGATCAGATCACGAATTTTGCGCACTGTGTTAAATCGGACCTGGATCTTGTGTTTGTCCATGATTTTGGAAATATTTTTGGTTACCCCTGCTATGTATGGCAAGGTGATGATTTTGATTGGATCCTCAGATGGCTCCTTTTTCACTGTTGGGGTGATGGCTTTGCGGATTGTGTAGTCAGAGTATCAATTTGCCTTGACAGCTTGGTGTACGTGTTTAAATTCACTGGTCAGGTGTTCATGGTCGGAGATACATTGAGCTCTATGGTGTAGCATTTTGATGAGGGAATTCTTCTGGGATGGATGGTGGTGGGAATCAGGTTTTAGGTAGGTGTCAGTATGGGTTACTTTCCTGTAAACAGAATGGCTCATTTTTTATTCGGACATCCAAGAAGGGTAGCATGCCATCCTTTCAATACAATCATGGTGAATTTAATGGCTGGGTGTATGAAATGATGTGGTTGAGGAATTAGTTCAGAGCCAGTCGGCCATGTGGTCAGATGACAAACGTGTCATCCACGTATCTCTTCCACAGGGACAGGCGTAGAGGAGATGCCTGGATGGCGTCCGTCTCAAATTTTTCCATGAAAATATTGGCTACAACCGGAGATAAGGGCGAACCCATTGGGGTGCCTTCAGTTTGTTTGTAGAATGTTCCATTCCAGGTGAAGTATGTATTAGTGAGTTAGTGTCACACCAGGGCCGGTACATCAGCATTCAATCCTTGTTGGACGAAATCTTCAATGATTGCAATGGTATCGGGCACAGGAACTTTGGTGAACAAAGAAACTACATCGAAACGAATGAGCAAATCACCTGGGGACGGTGAGATGTCCTTGATTGACGATACCAGGTGAGCTGAGTTAAGTACAGAAGAGGTGGTCTTACCAGTGAATGGCTGCAAGGTCTCAGAAAGATATCAGGCCAGTGTGTTGCGTGCGCGTGCCCATTGCTTGAATTCGGTGTCTCGGTGCCGCATTGTGACCCGGATAAGGGCATTAGCCGCCTGAATCACCCAGTGACCTTCCCCCCCACCCCCGCCCGCCTTACCTGCTAAAGTAAAACATTGTTTGTTGTTTAGTTTATAGTTTAGTTTCGAGGCCGTGAATTGCGAGCGCGCATGTTTTGTCTGGCAGGAACAAGAGGACCCCAACAAGCAGGCGACCAGCTGGCCCGACTACTACATTGACCAGCTTGCCTCCATGGCAACGGTAACGCGAGCGCACTCGGGTCACCCCTCGGCTGCGTCGCGGCGTGGGGAGGGGGGGGGCACGCGTGGGCTCGTGAATGTCTGAAGTCAAGTGTACAGTCCGTTCTGCTCTAACGCGTGTTGCTTTCATAACGCGAATTGGATGCAACGCGATTGAGTGAACGGAACTACGTCGCTGCGCGTAGGAGTAAGCGGTCGTGCGGCTGCCTCGGCTCGGTGTTGCGCGAGGCGGGATGCTGCTGGATGCTTCCAGATGTTTCCAGATGCTACGCACGCGCCTCGGTCTTTCTTCAGCCTGCGTACGCATCCCACGCGTTATCGCGGACTGTGCCTTACCAAATATAATTCGTCTCACTTTGCATATAACTTCGTTGATTTCAATAACATTCAGTGGCAAGGGTATGAAGTTTATATTTACACTTAATAAATATTTATTGCGCTCAAAAAATGTGTTTTCGAAACCTGCTACCCTCTAAACCCCTTAATTCCCATCGAATCAATGTTTATCATAGCGCGCGTGTTCCCCACAACGCGGTGTCTCTTCAGGAACGCAACGGCCGCGTTGCAGGAGAACTCTCCTGTGTATCTCTGTTAACCGGGGTGAGGACCTTGAGAGACCAGGGATGAGTGTCGGTTTCACGAGCGCCACTGTCCTCAGGGGTCGCCAAAATTGGAGGGGATCAAAAGTGAAAGAAAAAAACCCCGAAATGAATTAAGACGGCGATTTATGGGAAGTTTGGAAATCGGAGCGAGAACTAGTGCGCTCACGTGAGAAATATAAAGTGTTGCACAGACGCCTGAATCGGTGTTGAAAAATAAATTGCCTGGAACGTAAGTTGGCTCGGGGAAATTATTTTTATACTGAGCAGAATTAAGTTGCATGAACATTAAGCAGATGTAGTGTGGCTATCATACTAATATGTAAAGAGTTGTAGGGTGGCTATCGGACCGATATGTAAACAGACAAGGGATAGATTCCACATGCAAATGCCTGTCCCGCATACGTGCATTGGTGTGTCGGGTACATACGGAAGGATTTTGTTGTCAAAGTCGATCAAACCGACATGCGCTTGGAGTAAGGGGCGACCGAGTAACACTTTTGCACAATCGCAATTGTTTTGAGTGGTGTTGAGTCGTTGAAGCATCTCAAAGGACATTGGTGTACCGTCATCCCCTGGTCACCTCGGAGGCCACTGCTAAAACGCCTGCTATCCCCTTGCAGTCTCCCATCAGTCCCGGTAAATGACCAGGCTGAAAATCCCGCTAAGCTTCAGAGATCTGACGGGGGTCGGCCGCATTCGGGGTGATTTAGTGGGAGTTATTCAGACTGTCAAGTTGGTATCAGATTCCGTATCTTGCGTTGTCAAACATATATCGGCTAAAGTGGATATATTGTTCAAGCAGTAAAGCGTGATCATATTTCTGTTGATGGGTGTAAAGGCTCACGGGATTAATAGGTTACTCCTTGCCGTGTGCAGTGACGATTATGCGTGTCAAAGCAGTGCCAGTAAAGTCGGTGAAATGAGTCATGGCTGAAGAAATAGACATCGCAGATAAGTTTAGGAGCAACAAGCCAGTCGCAGTTGCGACCCCAACAAATGCACGCAGGGTGGAGGAAATGATTAACACCGGCTAGCCGGGTGACAGTGAGAGAGGTGCATTGCAGATTGGTCACCGTGGCTGTTAGCATATCACGTCAGTTTTTTCTCTCTCTCTCTCTTTGCATGGATGTCTCCCCTATCTGACCTGTCAGTTTAAACGCTCCGTCAATGTGCCGGCTGTCCTGTCCGTGCTGCCCCCAACGAAGGTCTTTTGTGTACAACGACAATTTTAATTCACATGGCGTCTTTATTAAAAAAAATACTAAAACTACATTGGGGGTAAAAGAAGGGTGCAGGAGGTCAGCAACATGGGAGGGAAGAGGGGGAGAAGCATCGCAGTGCAACCGGGGCTCGACATCACCAGCAATGACAACAACGACCCCCAGGGACAGCCAAGGCAGCCAGGGCAGCACTAACGAGTCCTTGGTCAGCCGCAAAGGGCCCTTCACCTGTCAAGGGACCAAAGTTCTTCATCGAGTACCAGGACACCCATGGAGGGCTGAGGCCCATTTACCGAGTCCCAGGGGAGTCTCAAGTCACATGGAGCCCATTTACCGATGAGTCCCAGGGCATCCATGAGGCGTGGGTGGGGGAGCTTTGGCCCATTCACCAGTGAGACCATGACCACATCCTCTCTCGTGGTTGGCCCACAGATGCAGACGGTGGCAGCAAACAGCGAGGAGGAGCTGGAAGCTCGAAACAAGGTGGTGGAAGACCTTAAGACGGCGCTCCGGACGCAGCCCATGCGGTAGCGCACGCACGCAGACACGGACGGGCAGACATGGCCACACAGACACGCACCGGAAGATGCGGCCACGCAGAAACAGGCAGGCAGACGGTCGCGCGGACACGGGTGGGCAGACACGGGTGGGCAGACATGTCACGCCATACATGTCCAAATTTCATGTCTGGACTAAAACCCAAACTAAGGTTTTGATGTAACGGAGCACTCAGCATTGCCAACTTCTAGCCGCACCTCACAGCTCCATGCCGTCAACACCTGGCAGGCCCCGTCGGCCACACGTCCACGCAATAACAGTCTCAACCTTGTGCCTACCTTACGAGTTCTGACGAGATCCGGATCATTTAGGATGATTTGGTCATGAGCAACAAAACAATCTTACATTAAACTATCCCGTTGGTGCAGGCTTGGCAGAGCTTGATTACTCATTGTTATGGTCATTGCATGAAATATTCCTAAGAAATATTTAGATAACACGCAATATATGACTGTACAGTTATACGTATATATTTTTTCCACGACTCAATTTTACAAGTGCACCGTGGCGTTGGGGCTGTCCTCAGAATAACCAACGTTTAATATTGTTTCCCTAGGCAATCTCACTCCGGCAGCTGGCACAACACAGCCAGCTAATACTCAAGGCCTCTTTGTTTTGATCTCTTTCTGACTCATCTCTCAATTATTCAGGGGCTATTTGTCTGCCTTTTGACTCAAGCCTGGACAATTTCCATGCACGTTTAAGGCCTCCCGGTGTTTTTTTTGCTTCAAAGTCATCGCCATCGCTTGTGCGCAAGCGTTTGGGGCCCTCTGAATATGTTTTGTTTTGTTTGCGAGTAAGGGGATGAATAATTCAATCTTCACGTTGCGACGGTTTTTCCATCGCTCTTAAATAATTTACGATTTCTACAAAAGCTCTGAAGAATTCGGACAACGGGCGTTGTTGCGATTGTGCTGCTTTAAAAAGGGATAATGAGGTCATCGGGATAATGAGGTCATCGGTAAAAATGCATGTATGTTCAATTTATTTCGCACCGTACGGAGTCAACTGTGCTAATCGGAGGTGCGGGGGAAGGACAACAAACTAAATATTTTAAAAAGTCAAATATTAAAAGAAGTAGCTGCTTGCAAATCCAAACAAAGCACTCCCTGGATATTGCTTCCATATTAATAATTCGGCCAAGTTCACGTGAAGGAATCTGCAGAGCCAAAGTAAGCGTCACTACGCTTAATAAGATGAATGACTCGCTTATTGACGAATACCCGTTCAGTTCTATTAAATTGATCCACTTCCAAAAAACCTGCTTCTTTAAAGTAAACCAAGAGGCAATTGACAGGGCTACCATTTTTGGTGAATAAAAATGCGATACCTTAAACGTTTGTAGCTTTAACGATGAATGCCTAGACTGTAAGTGCAACCAACCTTCTTAAATAAGGGTGACACACGCTGGCAGAAAGCAGCCTTGGAATATAATTATCATATTACTGAGAACCAAGACCTCCTGCCAGCCAGCCTTAGACACTTCACGTGGTCTCGGAATGCACCTGGCTTAGCACAAGCGCCGTGGTGACGTCACCGCCACTTGGTGGCGAATGGCAGATTATGTTGTTTTATGTGTGTGCCTGTGTATGTGCGCACCTATGTACGTGTGTACGTGTGTGCATGCGTGTGTAAGTGTGTACGCGCATTTTTGCGTGCGTATGTGTGAATATGTGTACGTGCATGTGTACAGTGAGGGAAAAAAGTATTTGATCCCCTGCTGATTTTGTACGTTTGCCCACTGACAAAGAAATGATCAGTCTATAATTTTAATGGTAAGCTTATTTGAACAGTGAGAGACAGAATAACAACAAGAAAATCCAGAAAAAGTCATGTCAAAAATGGTATGAATTGATTTGCATTTTAATGAGGGAAATAAGTATTTGACCCCTCTACAAAACATGACTTAGTACTTGGTGGCAAAACCCTTGTTGGCAATCACAGAGGTCAGACGTTTCTTGTAGTTGGCCACCAGGTTTGCACACATCTCAGGAGGGATTTTGTCCCACTCCTCTTTGCAGATCTTCTCCAAGTCATTAAGGTTTTGAAGGCTGACGTTTGGCAACTCGAACCTTCAGCTCCCTCCACAGATTTTCTATGGGATTAAGGTCTGGAGACTGGCTAGGCCACTCCAGGACCTTAATGTGCTTCTTCTTGAGCCACTCCTTTGTTGCCTTGGCCGTGTGTTTTGGGTCATTGTCATGCTGGAATACCCATCCACGACCCATTTTCAATGCCCTGGCTGAGGGAAGGAGGTTCTCACCCAAGATTTGATGGTACATGGCCCCGTCCATCGTCCCTTTGATGCGGTGAAGTTGTCCTGTCCCCTTAGCAGAAAAACACCCCCAAAGCATAATGTTTCCACCTCCATGTTTGACGGTGGGGATGGTGTTCTTGGGGTCATAGGCAGCATTCCTCCTCCTCCAAACACGGCGAGTTGAGTTGATGCCAAAGAGCTCCATTTTGGTCTCATCTGACCACAACACTTTCACCCAGTTGTCCTCTGCATCATTCAGATGTTCATTGGCAAACTTCAGACGGGCATGTATATGTGCTTTCTTGAGCAGGGGGACCTTGCGGGCGCTGCAGGATTTCAGTCCTTCACGGCGTAGTGTGTTGCCAATTGATTTCTTGGTGACTATGGTCCCAGCTGCCTTGAGATTATTGTCAAGATCCTCCCGTGTAGTTCTGGGCTGATTCCTCACCGTTCTCATGATCATTGCAACTCCACGAGGTGAGATCTTGCATCGAGCCCCAGACCGAGGGAGATTGACAGTTCTTTTGTGTTTCTTCCATTTGCGAATAATCGCACCAACTGTTGTCACCTTCTCACGAAGCTGCTTAGCAATGGTCTTGTAGCCCATTCCAGCCTTGTGTAGGTCTACAATCTTGTCCCTGACATCCTTGGGGAGCTCTTTGGTCTTGGCCATGGTGGAGAGTTTGGAATCTGATTGATTGATTGCTTCTGTGGACAGGTGTCTTTTATACAGGTAACAAGCTGAGATTAGGAGCACTCCCTTTAAGAGTGTGCTCCTAATCTCAACTCGTTACCTGTATAAAAGACACCTGGGAGTCAGAAATCTTTCTGATTGAGAGGGGGTCAAATACTTATTTCCCTCATTAAAATGCAAATAAATTTATAACATTTTTGACATGCGTTTTTCTGGATTTTCTTGTTGTTATTCTGTCTCTCACTGTTCAAATAAACCTACCATTTAAATTATAGACCGATCATTTCTTTGTCAGTGGGCAAACGTACAAAATCAGCAGGGGATCAAATACTTTTTTCCCTCACTGTACATGTGTGCATGTGTACGTGCATATGGGTGTACGTGTGCACGTGTGTACGTGCATTTGTACGTGTGTGTTGCCGTGTGTACGTGCATGTGTACATGTTTGCGTGTCGACGTGCGTGCGTTTGCAGATTCGTGACGCGCTTCATCGAGCTGGACGGCCTCACCTGCCTCCTCAACTTCCTCAAGTCCATGGACTACGACACAACGGAGAGCCGCGTGCACACCTCGCTCATCGGGTGCATCAAGGCCCTCATGAACAACTCTCAGGTGCGGTTTGTTCTTTACACATGACATTCGCATTCTATACTCAAGTAAATTTCAATCGGGTAAAACGCGTGTGGGGTGGAGGAGGGTGTATGACACACACTGTAATGCATCGCGGTCTTTCAGATGCGCTTCTGCGGCCGTCTGGAACACTCTTCCGTCCGATATTAGCAAGCCACCGACTACTTTTGTTTGCAGCCCTCCACCCCTTTCCACTCATGCCTTACCACCCAGGTCCAAATGTTTTTTGGGAGGGTGGTGGGGGGGTTTGTCTAATGTCCGATTAGCACGTTTGGCTACGTTACGGTGCGAAATAAGTTCAACGTACATACATCAAGTTCGACGCAGTGATCTGGCCCAAAAACCAACTGCGAGCCGTCGAGAACAACCTAATGTCTTCGGTGGCCGCGCTCACGCCTGCACCCCTCCGCCCACTGTCCCCCAGGGCCGAGCCCACGTGCTGGCGCACCCGGCGAGCATCGAGACGATCGCGCAGAGCCTGCGGACGGAGAACGTGCGCACCAAGGTGGCCGTGCTGGAGATCCTGGGCGCCGTGTGCCTGGTGCCGGGCGGGCACAAGCGCGTGCTGCAGGCCATGCTGCACTACCAGAAGTATGCGGCGGAGCGCACACGCTTCCAGGTACGGACCACCGTACGCCGCCGCCGCCCACCCACCCACCGGGGCTTCCTTCATCCAGCCCTGAGTGAATCAGAATCTTTATTTAGACCGGAGGAATCCGATGAGCAACGAAGCTCTTTTTTTCGCAGATGTTCACGAGTGTGTGCGAGTACCCGTTGATGCGGACTTGTCGGTGGCGTGGTGACCTTGCTAGCAATCGCGCGATCGTATCGATGCACTTACCCACCTTATGCCTAACTCCCGGGGCGCCGCGGTGGCGAGGAGATGTTATCTTCCTCGCCTGGTATGCAGGAAATTCGTGGGTTCGACCCCGGACCCTGACAATGCCCGTTGTATATTTGGAGTCCCCGTGCGTTCTCTCTCTCCCCATGGTCACGTGGCTTGTTCTGCGGGTTCCTACGGTTTTGGCCCCCCTCCACAATTAGAAACAAGACACGTTTATATTATTTGGCTGCTATTTTGAATATCCACGTGTGATTATGATATAAGCCACTTCGTTGAGCTATCACGTGTGGCCAGGTCGCATCTGACAAAGAGCTAATAGCTCAGTGGGCTTTACCTGGTAAATAAAATATAAATATTCTTGGTTCTTTCGGTAAAGTCACGTAGAAGGGAAACAATAAAATAATAAAAATATAAAATTTCACATTTTCTTTTTTCAAATTTTCTTGTTGTGGTTTTCACACCTGATGATGATTGCTTGTGTTGCAGTCGAAACGTCGTGATAATTTTATTGTTTAATATTTAATTAATATTTTATTTATTATTTTATTGTTTCCCTTCTACGTGGTGACTTTACCGAAAGAACCAAGAATATGAATCCCTGCAGTCACGAAAGTTTTAAATAAAAAAATATAAAAAGTAGTCCTAACTCGAGCATTAATAATCTTGCATAACTGTTGCCCCTGGTGGATTTAACCCAACTATAGGTATATCCTCACACAGTAAACCAGTTGGCTCTTATTTAACTCCTTAACCCCCCAATATCATTTTAAAACACACCTCTCAGAGTTACGTGTGTGTATGTGTGTTGAACCTCTTTTGCACCGTACGTAGCCAATGGAGTTCACAGGCCTTTCAACAAACTCTGGATTCATTGTCCAGGCAGGACTCCGCCACTCTCTACCACATTGCCGTACCAAATGTCACGTACCGATTGGCCAAAAATGGCTCTGGTTTATCATGGCCCTGAAGCCTCCCATCGCACGGAGAGAAATGTCGGACGTCGCACCGAACGGCACAACCCGCGAAGGCTACACAGCACAAACCGCGACGAACACCTACGCAGCCGTCTCCGCCACGTTTCGTCGCCCTGTGCCTCCCTCGCCCCTCTTCCCTCATCAGACGCTCGTGAACGAGTTGGACCGCAGCACGGGGCGTTACCGTGACGAGGTCAGCCTCAAGACGGCCATCATGTCCTTCATCAACGCCGTCCTCAACGCCGGCGCCGGCAAGGTGACGACCCTCGCTCGCACGCTCGCACGCTCGCACGCACGCACGCGCTGTTGCGCGATGCCCATCCCTGGCCCACTGACATCAGCTTCAGTCTTTTTGACAGCTGACCCTTGTGGCCGCATTGCCCAGCCGCAATGCCTCAAACTGCCTAAGGTTTACAATGCCGCTTCCGTATTTGAACCGGGAGTCTCAGCGGTCGTCTCAAGAGGCGCCCGGCCACCTCGTATTATCCAACCGACGTAACTCTTTAAGTCTTGTTTTGCAATTGAGGTGGTTAATATTGCAAGCGGCACAACCACCCCAACACGGAGAGAGAGACTGCGCTAACAAAACGCGTTTTTCGTTTTCTTGCGTAGCCTTGAGTCGGCTTGTACGGCCCTCCGCATAAGGGCCCTCCCCATGCCTTACCGGGTCGCTGGACACTCCAGCTCGCGAAAGTTGGGGGGGGGGGGGGGGCGGGCAAGGTGACGGAGGACCGTTTGAGATGCCGCACGGCGCCGACGTTAGCCGTGGCCAGTAACCGAGCTCGCCGAGTCGACCGATGCGATTCATCCCAAAACTTTTACCCGGGCACCCCGAGCTCAAGAGGCGTGTAAACGAGCCCGGCGATCAGCGCGGGGCAGCCGTCGTGTACGTGCGCGCGTGCGTGCGCGTGTGCGTGGCGATGACGTTGGCGGCGGCGTTGCAGGACAACATGGAGTTCCGCGTGCACCTGCGCTACGAGTTCCTAATGCTGGGGATCCAGCCGGTGATCGACAAGCTGCGGGGACACGACAACGCCACCCTCGACAAGTGAGACACGCACGCACGCACACACACATCCTTGCGGACACGCGCTAGATTGAAAACTCACTTCTTTAGAACTGCTTTTTGTGTTTAGTTTGTTCATTTTCCCCCGCACCTCCGATTAGCACGATTGGCTACGTACGGTGCAAGTTAAACGTACGTACATGTATGCAGCTCGCAGCCCAAATGGTAATGCGACGATCTCGTCACGGAGGTGGACTCAGAAATCGCGAATTTCAATGAAGTCCGTGAAATCTTGGGAAGTCACTGTAAAAAAAAAGCATTAAACTAGGGGCTTCCTTCATGTGATTTCAAAAACGCCGTGCGTCGTGTGGCTGGAAATACAGATTCATAACAACCCACAGACTCAACATTGCCCATAGACTCACACTTCCCATAGACTCACATTGCCCATAGACTCAACACTGTGGCTGTGGGGGGGGGTGGGGGGGAGGGGGGGTGCGACAGGGCGGGGGGGGGGAAGATCTGTCCCATAGCAATACGGGGGATTACATATAACACGTGTTTCTGTTTACCCTGGCAGGCATTTAGACTTCTTTGAAATGATCAGGAACGAAGACGAAGCTGAGCTGGCCAAGCGATTCGACATGGTGGGTCTCCCGTTCGTTTGGAATACTCCACGAGATGCCGCACATGCACGCACTCGCTCGTTCCACTCACCCGGCCTCGTCGGATGTCGGAAGGCAAGCGAGGAGAGTGCTCGGATGGGCGACCGCCATAGCAGGCTGATATGTTCCTATGTTGAACTTCTTTCGCAGCGTACGCGGCCAACCACGGCCATCGGAGGTGCGGGTCAACGACAACAAACTAGAAACAAAAAGCAGTTCTAAAGAAATGGGTTTTCAATATAGATTTAGCGGTGCATCGCTCCAGTGACTTTCTAATAATGCAGGCTGCTGTTGCTGCTGGGCTATGCGGTGGGCAGCAGAAGATATTACAGCAAAATCCCGTGTGGTACTCCACGTCTACGCTCGCACATCATCTTTTCTCGCCACCTTCAATACGTGCCTGACCGGCGTGGTAAACTACGGTCATGATCACCCCCGCGGCCCGCATTGTTGGGGAGGCCCTCTCACCCAGTGGTAGATTTGACTAAGGGAACATCAACTCCGGTCGTCCTCGCAGCAGCTTTTGGCTAGCCTTCGAGCAGAGACGGTCACTGCGTCGCGCGCTTTCACACGCGCTTCCGCGGTCATCTGGAATGCTCTTTCCTCCGATATTAGGGAGCCACCGGAGCCGGTCACTTTTAAATCCTCTAGATTGAAAATTCATTTATTTAGAACAACTTTTTGTGTTTAGGTTGTTATCCTTCCCGCGCACCTCCGATTAGCGCGGTTGGCTACGTACGGTGCGAAAGGATTTCGGCGTACGTACATACGTAGATGCGTAGGTTGATTCACATTGTCCCGAAACGTGTAACGGCCGACGCGCGACTCTCTGCGGTCTCGTCCTTTGCCTCCTATACCACAGACGCACGTGGACACGAAGAGCGTGGGGCAGATGTTCGACGTGATCCGGAAGAAGCTGGCGCACACGGAGGCGTACCCCCACCTCGTGTCCATCCTGCAGCACTGCCTAGAGATGCCCTGTGAGACTCGACCCCCCGACCCAATTCTACCCCCCCCCCCCCCAGCACCATTGACCCCTAGCGCACGAACCATCGTCGCGATATCTCACGGCATCCTCCCGTCATCGCAAGGCGATGGGTTTTCGGCCTCCGCTTTGTTTCGAGAGGATTTATGTTGTTCGGACGTTTCCCGTGACGACTGAAAAGGCCGATCGTGGAACGCCAGGGCCTGCTTGTGCCGCCGCGGTTGCCACCTCTGTACTTGACTGTGGTTGTCCTGTCATGGCTGCCGACTTTGTGAGTGCCACGGCTGATGGCGCCCTGCTTTAGTACGCACGCCGACACTTGTCCCGTGTCGAGTGAATCCATCTGATGTCGTGGTCCCGTGCGCCGCTGTGCCGGTTTTCCCTGTCTCTTGCCCGAGCTTCCCACCCATTGACATTGATGTTAGAGGTCTTCGAGATCATGCTCACAAGACGCCCTCATGAAATAAATTCAACAATAGCACTTGCGGCCTTAAAAGGAGTTATCTGCAGCAGGCGACGCTTTGGGCAATGTCCCTTCTTCACATCACGTAAGTCGGTGCTCAATTATATTGTGATATAGTTCCATCCTCATCGATCCAATCTGCTTGTGCGTGCACAGGTGTTAGGTGGATCGTTACATCCCAGGACCATAAGGGATGGTGGCAGCTTGCGCAGGCCTTCATCATCCAGCACAGCCAATGATGTTGATGATAATTAAAGAACCATGTTCCTGTCAGTGTTGAGTACTAATGTGAGCGTTGAGGCGTGAATCCCAGTGTTGAGATATGAATATCGGGGTTTAGTTTTGATGCGAATATCGTTTATTTTTTTATTTTTGAGGCGACTGTGGCTCTCGGCCGCGAACGTTGGGATCTCGGCTGCGAGGCGCGAGTTGAAGGGCGCCGGTGTGTGTGTGTCTCGCGCTCCGTGCAGACAAGCGCAATGGCACCATGGTGCAGCAGTGGCAGCTGCTGGACCGCATCCTGCAGCAGGTGGTGCTGCAGAGCGACCGCGGGGAGGACCCGGACGTGGCGCCGCTGGAAAACTTCAGTGTGAAGAACATCGTGCGCATGTGAGTGGACCATTGTGTGCCCGTGTGAGTGACCCAGTGTGTTCATGTGATTGACCCATCGTGCATGTGTGAGCGACCCATCGTGCGTGTGAGAGTGACCTATTGTGTGAGAGTCACCCATCGTGTGCGCGTGTGAGTAGACCCATCGCGCGCGTGTGAGTAGACCCATCGCGCGCGTGTGAGTAGACCCATCGCGCGCGTGTGAGTAGACCCATCGTGCATGTTAGACCCATCGCGCGCGTGTGAGTAGACCCATCGTGCGTGTTAGTAGACCCATCGCGCGTGTGTTAGTAGACACATCGCGCGCGTGTGAGTAGACCCATCGCGCGCGTGTGAGTAGACCCATCGCGCGCGTGCGAGTTACCCAGGTGTTGTAGGTTGTGAAGTTGGGAGGTGGCCAGGAGATGAAGTTGTGTTGAGTATTATTGTAAGTTACTTAGGATCCCTGAGATGCTAGCTCATGGGGATGTCAGACCGTTATCTTTGCTGGGCCTCTTCGTCGGCTAACCTCCTGTGCCGACGGCGTCGGACGGCGGAGTGATCGCGTCAGGTGGTTTGTCTTTCGCAGGTTGGTGAACGAGAACGAGGTCAAGCAGTGGAAAGAGCAGGCGGAGAAGACGAGAAAGGGTCAGTAAACTGCGGCAGACATCGTCGTCCGTGTGGAGCAAGCTGCCTTCCCAACCCCCGCCCCCCCCCCACCGCCAGAGTACCTGAAGAGTGCAGCTATGAGACGCTTGCGGTGACAGAAGTGACTTGCTCAAGTTCGAGACGGTGTTGTGGCCAAGTGTGCAGATGTTCTCCCCCCTGTAGCCACCCGGTCAGTCACACAGAAGTGGCTTCGTGCTAAAATGATGAACACGGTGTTACTTTTGTTGAAGTTCATATTGTTTAAGCAGGTGAGAACTCAAGAGACCGCGATAGTCTCATTCGCAAGAGTGACCTGGGGCGTTAATTATTCTGAGCTGTTGGGGCAATTATTGCCGTGTCAGAATCTCATATAGGTAAATTGGCGAGCAATTTCGAATTCCTGAAATGGCCCACTCCTGCGTATTACGCTCAGGGGATCTTTGACATCCACTGCACGCAGCATTATTACGTTTGCCATTCCCGCAGTAATAACTGGGGCGGCCGCTGGAATTGAACCGTGAGCCTCTGCAGCATGCGGCGAACGCACTACTGCTGGGCCACGTCACCGCCCAGTGTTGTTGCCGCATTCAAAATATTTGGCCCCTGCCCGATTCGTGCGGCTAAGATGCTCGTGGCGAGGGATGCAATTTTGTCCGCGGGCTGTTGCGAAGTTGTAGGGCCACGCGTGACACGAACTCGTAGGCCCGCGGGCAGCCTGATTAACCTACGTTCCCCACCCCCGATCCAAACCGTGGGGGCTCTATCGCTGCAAAAAGCAACAACAAAAAAACGAAAACGAACGAACGAACGAACGCGGAGCGACGCGCATCCCTGTCTCTCTCCTCGCGTGCTTGCGGCAGAGCACAGCGAGCTGATGCAGCGGCTGGAGAAGAAGGAGCGGGAGTGCGAGGCGAAGACGCAGGAGCGCGAGGACATGATGACGACGCTCAACAAGATGAAGGACAAGCTCCAGCGCGAGGCGGCCGAGCGGCGCCAGGCCGAGGAGCAGGCGCGGGAGCTGCAGTCGCGGCTCGACGCGTACCTCGCCTCTGTGAGTACCTCTCTGTATAAGTACCTCTCTCTCTCTCTCTAATGTACCTTGCCACCATGCGTACCTGTCTTTCCCAATAGTGTACCTCCTTGTAGTGAGCATCTCTACTGTACCCTGCTGTGTGAGTACCTCTCTCTTTTTAGCACACCTCCTAGTGTGGCGACATCTCTGCCCAGTGCATGTCGCTGTACGAGTGTTCTTGCCCCCTCTTGTGTTCTTTGCCTCTGTCAGTACATGACCCTTGAGTTGACCTCTTCCCATGAGCGGCCGCTTACTTTAGTGCGTCTCGTCTTTGTAAGTGTCTTCATGGAGGGTACCTCGCCCTTCCACGAGTACCTCCAGCTTCAGGATAACCCGCCAGTGGCCGCGAGCTGTTCGGCATCGCCGCTGTGCGTGGCGACGTCCCGGTGGTTATTGCGTCGAGCCGCGTTCGACACATTTCCCGTCTTGTAGCCGTCGGTGATATCTTTTTGAAACGGTTCTGTTGTGGCGATAAGCCTTTCTCAATATTTGGTGTAACTCGATGAGTAATTATTCATCTAGGATGGGCAAATTATTATATTGCCCATCCTTGAATCGGGTCACGACCTCGAATCCAGGAAGATTTACGTTTCTGTTAGAATGGCAACGGCGCTGGCGACGGCGGGCAGCTATATTTGATGACGATATTTGCAGCGGACGATTCCGGCGACGTTGCTTTTTCTGCTGCGGTGGATAGCCACCGACGGTGCGCACCGCGGAAAAACGACGACGGTGGTGAAGCCGCGGCCGACGGCGACTGTGACGACTCCGATGTCGTTCCCCAGGGTGGCAGCATCGGAGGGCCGCGGGTGCCCTTACCTACCAGCGGCCTGCCAGGTGCGAGCGGGGAAACCGTGCCAGCCTTGGGCTCTTCAATCCTGGCTCCGCCGGCACCGCCCCCACCTCCCGGTGGGGTCCCTCCCCCGCCGCCCCCTCCTCCGCCTCCTCCAGGAGGACCCCCCGGTGCCCCCCCACCCCCGCCGGGAATGCTGGGATCGGGGCCTCCTTCGGAACTGCCCAAGAAGAAGATCCCACAGCCCTCGAACCCCCTCAAGTCGTTCAACTGGTCCAAGCTGCCTGAGGTGACACAGACCTTGTTATTCGTATGATGCGGTGACTGAGATGTTAACTACCTCGCGTGGTATACAGGAGGTCGTGAGTTTGATCCTGACCCTGACGTTTGCTGCTGTATATTTGCGTTTGCCTGTCTCTCTCCCCGTGGTCGCGTAGATTTTTATCTCGGTCCTCCCGATTTTTCTTTCCACATTTAGAATCAACGTGCGTTGGGAGTACTCTACATTTTGACGTAATAAGCCACTTCGTTAAGCTATCATTTGTGGCCACGTCGCTTCTGAAAAAGAGCTATGTAGCTCAGTGAGCTTTACCTGGTAAAATGATAAATGGTTTAGTCGGAATCGTTCGATTGAACAGAATGTGTTGCTTGTGCGACATATGCACCGTCAGCGGCCAAGATCAACGTCACAGTCCTGCGATGCAGCAGTCCGCCTCTCATTGCTCCACACTCGTCTGGTGGATGCCCTCTCGCTGGCCGCATCCCTTCCATTGGCCGCCGCTGCTGCTGCATCGTTAGTCTCGCCCACCGGCCATCGACCCTCCCAGCCACATGCCCTCACCAAGCCCATTTTCTCGTCTCACAGTCACTGTGATATCATTAACTTGATTAGTGACACCTGGATGGTTGCATCAATCTCCAACGCTTGTATGGACATAATGGTAATGGACATTCGTTTTGCGTTTTCCAGAACATTGATTCATTGTACGTCCTTATGTGTGGTCGATGTCTTTGATGGTAGAGAAGTGGAGAGCGGTCGTGCAGCGGTTAGCGCACTGCGCTACCAACTCGTTGACCCGAGTTAGATTCCCTCTCACGGCCAACGCCAGTGACGATTATCCGAATCGGTCCTGGGCCTCCCCTAGGTCGACTCGGCCTCAAATTAGTACCTGGTGTAATGTGTAAGCATTGCCACTAGGGAGACAAAGGCAGCCGGGCGTGATGTTGGCCACTCACCTCATAGGTGCACGCGAACAGCACTTGCTCTGGAAACCTTTCCCAAGCCCGGCTTGCACTTGTGGCTGGCCATCGCGAAGCGTCTGCCGCCGCTGCTCCTCCTTAACGCTCGTGCGTCCACAGAACAAGATCTCGAGCACGGTGTGGAGTGAGATCGATGACCTGCGAGCATTCAAGGTGCTGGACCTTGCAGACATCGAGCGCATGTTCTCCGCCTACCAGCGACAGCAGGTGCGTGCGTGCGTGCGTGCGCGTACAGCGATGAAGCCCACGCGTTTCAATTGACGTTGAAGCCGCCCATGTCGACATGGCGGGCGCCCAACTCCTGACAGGGGAACCATTGTGGACGACGCTCGGGTGGAAGTGGAGGAACGTAGAGACACAAAGATGTTATACCCTCTGTGGCCTGCATATAATCGTGACAACTCGTTGAACCTCCCGTGGGGGGGAGGGGGGGGGGTGAATTGATACTTTCCTAGTTGCTACCGAATGGAACATGCCTGGTTGGCCATGTAACTAGTTGCTAACGCACATTGCACACTTGCCGTTAAAATTGCCTGTGTAGAGTACTTAAATGCCAGGTGCTCGCTCATCCTCTGCTGTGTTTCTCTCCTGCTGGCACGATGACCTTTAACCCGCTCCCAAAAATCAAGGACCCCATGTTCAATGTCGGTAGCTTCAGGCAGGTGAGTTGCCCGCGCGCCCGCGTGCTGCCGTGCCCACGCGCCAACCGCGTGGGCCCATTGGGCCTTGAGTCAAGGGAGTTGCTCGGTGCCACCTGGCGTGGCAAATGCTACCAGTGCCCACCACGGGCAGTGCCCACCATGAGCAGTGCCCACCAGGGGCAGTGTCCACCACAAGCAGTATCCACCACGAGCAGTGTCCACCATGAGTGGTATTCACAACGGGTGGTGTTCACCGTGGGCAGAAAGCTTAGCCTACGTACCATCTGTTTTGTAATACACTCCCCCTGTATATATTCTTTTACATCTTTCGCATCACACGATAGTTTTTTTTTTATATTGCTCCAACACGAGGTTCACATTTTTGCGTTCTGGAGCTAAAACGCTTCCCCAAGTGGTGCCGATCGGGCCTGCTTCAGGCCAAGGGCTGAAGGACCATGCCATCATATATTCATTTGCATCAGAATTACACGAGTAGAGGTGTTCATGAAAATGGGTTTCAAGCAAGAACGTTCGTTTGTTGGCGAGTGGGTCGAAGGGAACAGTTGCTTAGATTTGCCGTAATTGAGACCACGGTTGTGTGCGTGTGTGAGAAGAGGTGACGTCGCGTTACCACTCCGAACTTGGCGACCTGAGTTTGATTCCTGCTCATGGACAACACCAGTGACGATTATTTGAACCGGTCCTGGGCCTCCCCTAGGTCGACTTAGCCTCAAATTAGTACCTGGTGTGGTGTGTGCTACCATTGCCACTAGGGAGACAAAGGCGGCCGGTCATGGCGTTGGCCACCCACCCCCTCATGTGCCATGCTGGCCTTCATAGGTGCTCGCTAACAGCACTTGCCCCTACAGTCTGTTCAGGCTATACGGGGGATCTTTGTCTTTGGGTAATCTCTAACCAGGTTAATCAACATGCAGCAGTTCTTCTTCTAGCCTGTGGGGTAAATGTGTGTTCACCGTAGTCGGTGTCCACCACAGGCAGTGTCGGTGGCTAGGAGATGTTAACTACATCGCCTCGTATACAGGAGGTCGTGGAGTCCATCCCGACCCTGACACCTGCTGTATATTTGGAGTTTGCGTGCCTCTCTCCCCGTGGTCGCGTGACCTGACCGTCTTTCGCTGGATCCGATGCGTGCAGAAGGAGATGGGCTCCAATGAGGAGCTGCTGGACTGTGGGAGCCGGAAAGCCAAGGAGCTCTCTGTGATCGACGGGAGGCGCGCGCAGAACTGCGTCATTCTTCTGTCCAGGTGTGTGACGGTCTTTCATTCCTTGATAGACTGATGGATAGATTTAGATGTATAGATTCTATTTATTTCAGCAGGAAGGGCCCAATGAGTGGCTAGGCTCCGTGTCATTTGTGTCCTGCGACCGTGCGGATGGACGAACATTGAGGATCTCCTGTTTGTAGCTCCAGAGCCGGTGGTGGAAGTTCCCCATTCCTATGGTGGAGCCGAGTTTTTCCATAAGACAACGGTTTACTCCCCCCCCCCCCCCACAAAGTGGTACTCACTTTATCGACACCGGAGAGGAAATGATGGGCCGAGCTAACTCCACCAAGCAGGAATTGAGCTCGCCCACCTTCCCGATAGCAAGCTACTCCCTCTACCACCGAGACACCTGGCCGGTGATGTTGTCTGGAGTCTTGTCTCATTCCATCCCTGTGTTGAGGCTCTCACATCAGTTGGGAATGCCTCTACGATCACCGTAGGATCATTAATCAACCTCCAAATTATTTAAAGCACAGCCCACAGAACCCATAAAACGTACGTTGCCATGATATGCCATGTGTGTAGAATAAAGATCACAAGGTCAGGCAGCTTCAGTGTGGAGGGCAGTTGATTAAATCGACACCATACCGTGATAACCCACAACATCTTGGGCCTGTCTTTTGATCTGTTATCGAGCCTTCACAAATCATCAGCCATGAGCTACCTACTGCTGGATGTAGGCCTCCCCGAGCCTTTGCCATATCTCAGAGAGTCCTGCGATGCAAGAATGCACCTAGCTCCTGCACATGAGCTGAAATCGCAACATCTCCAAGGTGGACATCCTGGTGGATGTGTTCTCTCCTTTGATAGTAACTTCATCATTACTCTCAACCACTGGCCATCATCACCGGTTTTTTTATTTCACCAGGTAAGGCCCACTGAGCAATGTTGCTCTCTTTCAGAAGCAACCTGGCCACAAATGAAGCGGCTTATGCGGAAATTTAAAGCAGACAAATACTCTAAACGCACGTTGATTCTGAATGTGGAGGGGAAAACTTGAAGGACCCGGAGGAAAATCCACGCGACCACGGGGAGAACATGCAAACTCCAAACATACAGCCGTTAGGGTCGGGATCCATGACGTACTGCATACCAGGAGAGGTAGTTAACATCTTGCCACCGTGGTGCCCCATCTAGCGACATGTCCTGACCATGTCCACTTTTCTTAAAACTCATTAGGATGTCTCTAAAGTGCATAGTTCTACGATCCGTGTGTTCCTCCTTCTGCCTCTCGTTGTAATTCCAACCCTGCATCTCTCCGTGCATCTTTGTTCGCTTTTCTACTTTTGTCACATTTGTGAGAGACATGTTTCGTACGTTACACGCTTGCATGTTGAACTGACTCGCCAGTCAACCTGGCTTCAAAGAGCAGGACCTTGACGTTGGTTTATACGCGTGTTGTTATTGTCCCTGCATCTCCAATTAGCACGGTTGGCTACATACGGTGTGAAAGAAGTTCGACATGACACTTAATGTGCGCGTGGAAAGCGCGATTACTCTTGAATACAATAAACGAGACGTCTACAACGGGCTGGCGAAGTCTGGTTTTCCAGAAAATGTTGCAATTATCGACGCAGGCGATTTCCCCCCCCCCCCACCGCACCTGCGATCTAATCGGTTCCAGAAGGACGTTCGTAAGTTGAGTAAGATAGGCGCAATATTATAAATTAGGGTTCTGTTCCTGGAAGCCCGTTACATACCGTAAAAATACCAAAATTGACCACGGAAATGAATGAACATAACCCTAGCAAACATTTATTCTAACTTAACGTAACTTTTACAAACATTTATGAAGTGAAAACAAACACATTTTTCTGCACGTGCATCACATTTGCTCTTTATCAGACACGGCGAAAGGCGGGAACATTTTCAAAATTTGAAGTTGTACAAAAAAGTGAAGAGCGTTGCGAAAGAGAGACGCTCCTTTCGCTCCAGGCAAAGCTGCAGACCGTAGGGCTATACTGTCCCCATACACACATGGCGGAAGAGCAAAGCGGCGCCATCAGGCGACGAGTCTGCGCATGACACAGCGCAGACTCCGTCGCCAATCAACTTACTGTCGTCGGTAGTAGTCGTTAGGCGGTCGTAGATACGAGTTTTGGTCGTTACTGCGAGGGTCTTACATGCTATAAGAACGGTCAAAAAAGCAGGGGGGGGGGGGGGAGTGTTGCAAGTCGAGCCGTCGTAAGCCGGGGGTCACCTATGCAGCGACCGTTAATGGGACTTTGTTTCTTCAATTGCAGTCCCAGACATATCCATTGAGTTCAAATAAACCTCTGTATGCGTCCTTTGTACTGTCTTTTAGTATTTCCACTGAACGACAAGAATATGGAATGGTCCTGATTTTGGCACCGATGCTTTGAGGATGTCCACTAACCTGAAGAATTATGATTACGTCTTCGTTGAGTCATTTGAGTTTTATTAAATCCCCCTCTACCCCCAGCACCTTGTGCCCACCCAGCAGTATAATTGGCTATACCCCAAGTTCGTCCATCAGCAGGTCACGTGTGGTGGGGTAAAGTGTGGGTATTCAATCCTCTTCCGAGAGGTCTCGCCAGCGTGGAAGAGTAGGCTAAAGCCCTTCTAGATAGGGGCTTGCCTAGAGCTCGATTGGGAGGTCCTTCTACCAGCAGTGGCATGAGCAAGCAGATGCAGAGCTGCGCCTTTGCCTTTTTAACCCATCTTGTAATCTCAGCCTTGGACACGTGCATCGGGATCCTGCAGAACATACATTATACCATCGTATACATATAATTGATGTTCTGTCCATTACATTTGCCAACCTGTGAGCATCTCTCACGGCGGCACCGTGAATCGACATGGGAGGGGAGAAGCCAGCACCCCCCCCTCCCCACCCCAGGTAGCTTGTGCTACCGGCCATGTGGGCACTTGGCCACGTGTATTCCTTCACAACTCAGTCCTTTGAAGTGATAGAGGCCGCTGCTGCTGCTGCACCGCATGCACACGTTGTGGTGCGTCTGGTTTGTATAAAATTCAGGCGGCATGTGCACACTTGCACGTGCGCCACACACGTACAGGCCGCTCGGCTCCCGGCTCGCTCTCTCGTGGTTCATACTTTGAGAACTTTAACGCAGTTTGGAGTATCGACTGTAGATATTATTTCTTCTACTTGACCAATTCAGACGTTGGTAAAATACGTTACATGAATACACGTGTATATATAAACACAAAAAATATTTACCTTCATGACCAGTTTGTTTAAAGAGCCCCGTGGGTTTGTCAAAAGGTGTTTTTTTTAAATTCGGTAACAAAAATGCACACAACTTACAAAGTCAGAACGTGGCAGCCATGAGCAACTGTCGGACGTTATTTGGGGTGGTCATTGCCTTGGCAATTCCGGCACCTAAACTCAGGAACTCCTTGCCCCTTCGAGGTCAGGGGGACTTCAGAGACACTACAAAAATCTTGAAATCTTGACGAAAAACGTAACTGTTTAATATGGCTCTCTCTTTAGTTATTTTGAAACGTCTTTCTCTTTTCCTCTTTCCTTGGTTGACGTTAAACTATCTTACATCTTTTCATGCATAGTGCCCAGAGAACACTTGTTTAAGGGCGCTTTATACATTTAAATTATTATTGTAATAAATTCATTGAATAGTGCCAAACTACATGGCCACAACCCTTGACTTCCTCTTAACTGGTACTCTTCTCTTTCTGGCAATAATACAGGAGGTGTCAACATGTTCAAAGACCACATAGACACCTATTGCAAGGCATAAAGTCTGAATTAACCATACGTACTCGTGGTAAAACATGCAAATAAATGCTTTGATAATGTATGTGTTGTCCTTGACACTCATTTCTGTATTGGGCGTCTATTTGGTTTAACACGTAGGCTTTCGCTTCCAATGTTATCCATGATAGAGGTTTTTGGGTTAGATCACGTTAATATAAGTGCGTCGTTAAACCTGCCACCACACCGACACAGCCAATTAGTAATGTTTGTCACGTGAACATAACGTGCCAATTCGTTACTAGTTCAGCACACCGGTGTGTTGGAGTGTAAACCCACAAAATTTACCATTCCAGTACTAGGTGTCTATTTGGCATTGAAACTATCTTAACGCACATATTATTTCCAGAAAAAGTAAGGCCTTTTTCCCCCCGTCATCTTCATACTGGCACAAAGGGTCGCAAAGATTAGTGGTACTCGTTTATTCCGCAAAAAATGGAGTCGAACTGTGTTTTGTCAGATTTGTTTGTGTTTTTGTATTGTTTGTTGTAACTTTCTAACCCCATGCCTCCCTATTGGGACATTTGTGTAAGAAAGAGCTTGAGAGCTCATCGGATTCCTCCGGTATAATTAAGTATTCTGATTCTGATGTTTCCCCCGGTGCTTTCTGAATGTGTCTCGCTGTTGTCTCTGAGCAGACTGAAGCTGTCGAACGATGAGATAAAGCGTGCGATCATGCGCATGGATGACCAGGAAGACTTGCCCAAGGATATGCTCGAGCAGGTATGCACACACTGTCATGCCCCCACGACTGACAAGAAGATTACAACTCGCAACGGAAAGAGACCGCGGGTGGCCGGAGACCGCATCTCGAATCAAAGTGCGTTTGGAGTATTGATTTTGGGGGGTGGGGAGGGGAGGGGGGAGCTGTCGGGGACTGAGCCTCCCCCACCCCCACCTGCTCAAGGTTCAACCCCCCCCCCCCCTTTGTGTCGCCAAGTGAAAATGTTGCTGGTGTGCCATGGTGGTGAGATGTTAACTACCTCGCCTGGTATTCAGGAGGTCGTGGGATCGATCCTGACCCTGACGCCTACTGTATATTTCGAGTTTGCATCTCTCTCCCCGTGGTCGCGTGGATTTTTCTCCAGGTGCTCTGGTTTTTCCCTCCACATTTAGAATCAACGTGTGTCAAGAGTCTTTGGCTGCGATACATTTCCACGTGATAAGCCACTTCGTTGAGCTATCATTTGTGGCCAGGTCTCTTCTGGAAAACATCTAGAAAGCTCAGTGGGCCTTACCTGGTAAAATAAAAACAGTTTAGTTTTAGTTTGCCTCCCACGAATAAACCAGGTTCTCAAGTGTAGCGAATTGGTGGTCTCAGCCCGGTCACCGATGACCACACACGAAAAATAATATTGTCCAACTCGGTGGTACTCTAAGCTCAACTATGCTCAACTCATGTACCAAACCTTTTGTCAATCCACTGCCGAATGAGATCTTCCCAATGAAGTGTGGATCATAGTGGCTATCCGACCGTACTCTTAACACAGTGGCCAATGTGTGGGTTGGTGAAGGCAGGGAGCAAACACTGAGCATAGAATTACGGTCCAACAATGGACCGCCTACCCCCACGCCCTTTTGTGCCGTGCCGGCCTTATTAGGTACTCGCCTACAGCACTCAACCCAAGGATCTGTTAGGGTTATACGGGGGATGTTGGTCGTTGGAAGCATGCGCACGTGTTTACGTTTAAGAGCGTTCGCTTAGTGCCTTGGTGCGTGCCTGGTTTGTGCGTGCACGCGTTTGCGATCTCACGCGCGTGCGCCCAGATTGTGTTCCCCGTGTGTGTGTGTGTGTGCGTGTTAACACGGCGTGTGTACCTTGCTTGTGGCGTGTCGCAGCTGCTGAAATTCGTGCCGGAGAAGAGCGACGTGGACCTGCTGGAGGAGCACAAGCACGAGACTGAGCGCATGGCGCGAGCCGACCGCTTCCTCTACGACATGAGCAGGTGACGACCAGTGATGGACCAGAAACGGTTAAAGTCGACGTAACGCGTAGGGTTAGGTCCCCGCTACGTGCATTCAAGAGAGTTTGTTCTTCGACTTTGCCGGCGAGCCGAAACGATAACCGTTTGCGCGTCAAAACGCTTGGTACGCCCGGCGATTTAATTTGTTTGGTTGAGTCGGGCGGTTGGTTGAGGGGCCCCCCTGCACCTCCGATTAGCACGGTTGGCTACTGGCTACGTACGCTGCAACAGAAGTTCAACGTACATACATAATTTTTTACTTCCAAGAATCCTGTACTGCAGCGCGTTATTTGTATTTATATCATTTGCACTGTCAGGCGGACCGCCATTTAGGGGGAAGGCCTCGCACCAATGATATCTGGTTAACCAGCAGTATTTATTTAGCACGCCTCACTCATATCAACGTACATTTAATTGACGTGCTGTCCATTACATTTGCCAAACCCGTGACCATCTCTCACGGCACTGTGAACCAATATGGAAGGGGAGAAGCCCACCATCCGAGGTAGCTTGTTCTACCAGCCACGTGGGCACTTGGCCACGTGTAATGCTTCACAACTCAGGTCCTGGGAAGTGCTGCCAGGGTTGGGAGATAGGGAAGCTGATGAACCTATTGACCAGTTTAGACCGTGAACCCAAGAAGGTCTAAACTGGTCAATAGTTTTTGCTTAAACAATTTTCTGCAGGTTAATGCAGACGTCGAAGGCTATGCTGCCCTCTTACAGACACTACCTCATTACTCAGTGAAGTGGGTGTCACAAAAACAAAGATTCCTGTATAGCCTGGAACAGACTGTTGGGGCAAGTGTTGTTAGTGAACATCTAATGAAGGCCGGCACGGCACACGAGGGGGTGGGTGGCTAACACCACGCCCAGCCGCCTCTGTCTCCCTAAGTGACGATGTTTACACACCACACCAGGTACTCATTTGAGGCTGCATCGACCTAGGGGAGGCCTAGGACCAGTTCAGATGATCGTCACTAGTTGTTGGCCTTGAGCAGGAATCAAACTCGGGTCGCTGGGTTCGTAGCGCTAACCGCTACACCACCGCTCCCCCCACACACACACACGGCGCGCATCTTGGTTTTATCCTAAAAGAATCCACCAACTTCCCCTCCAAAATTTGCTGGGATCGCAGCCGTGCAGCATTGCCACCGCCGCACGCCCCCCCCCGCCCCCTCCCATCGATGGCAAAACATCTGCTACTTCTCGGAGAGAGCCAAAACGAAATAACGTGCGGCAGCGATGGCGCCTAAATCGCGGGTAATCTGTCATTCCTTTGTACCAATATCCCCCCCCCACCGGGCTTCCCTCGCAATATCCTCGATGGATCCGCGTGGTATTTATTCCGCTAACATTCTCAAGCTCGGTCCACGAAGCGAGCCTCGGACGATGCTGCGTCTCCCTTGGCAGGATTCCACACTACCAGCAGCGGCTGCAGGCGCTCTACTTCAAGAAGAAATTTGCCGAGCGCGTGGCCGAATGCAAGCCCAAGGTGGAGGGTGAGCCTCACCATGTTGTTTTTATCAATGAATTGCCCTGAAGGTGCCCGAACGTGACCCTTGCACGTGTGCAGTCAGCCCTCTTGTTAATCCACTGCTGGATGAGGGCAGGCAGTGAGGGTTATTTAACAGCTACAAGTCATTGTTTCTATGAACTTCATGCCTTGGTGCCTGTGCAATTGCCAATTACTAATTCTACCAGGTTGATTGTTTCATGTCATCAAGCCTGTGTTCTCTGCCACTCCATTATAGGATTCAACTGTCTCTTCCTCCTTCGTTCTTCACAGCACTTGACTTTGGAACCCACTCCCATTGTTTATTTTTCCTAAGTTACTATAACCTTCCTCGGTACGTGGAATGTGTTAATTCTTATCTGCTGTACCGTCATTCGTGCTGTTTGGTTGGCGGCTTCTGGAACTGCCTGCCACGCTTGACAACGGAAATCCCTCCCGTCATTCAGGTCCTCGCATTCTATGATCTGGCTCGATTCACGAAATGGGGTTGAGTTTGTATTCGCTACACTTCCCTTAAAAGAGCCCTTGGTAGCTGACTTCAGAACTCCCTCCCATCACCTCTCTTCAAAGTTTTCCCGTGACCCTGCTCAAATCTGCGTTAAAATCTTGCTTAGTCATTTACGTGCTGTCCGGCCGCTTGGCCGCTTTTGCACCGTGTGGGCCTGGTCGGGCCTGCGCTTCGTGACTGCAAAAGCCTGCGGTAATCGTTTCGTCTCTCTCCCGCTCTGCCCCCTCACCGCCACCCCCCCCCCCCCCTCGTGCTCAGCCATCCTCTTGGCCTCCAAGGAGCTGCACCAGAGCCGCAGGTTGAGGCAGCTGCTGGAGGTGGTGCTGGCGTTCGGGAACTACATGAACAAGGGGCAGCGCGGCAACGCCTACGGCTTCAAGATCTCAAGCCTCAACAAGATCGCCGACACCAAGTCCAGCATTGACAAGTGAGTGTCTCGCCCGCTGGGCCCAACAACCGCCGTTCGCCACCAAGTGGCGGTGACGACATCACCACGGCGCTTGTGCCAGGCCATGTGCCCGTCACCCTGGGCCCACACACAGTAGTAGCACCCAGTTGACAAGTGTGTCACCCTGGACCCACACACAGCGGCAGTAGCACTCCAAAAAAAAAACCTTCATCACGTATAACATTGGTCGCGAAAGCCTACATGTTAAACTGTGAATGAATGCTGCGCTCGCAGGAATATCACGTTGCTCCACTACCTCATCACGATCCTGGAGAAGAAGTACCCCGACGTCGTGAACATCCAGGACGACCTGCAGCACGTCCCCGAGGCCGCCAGGGTCAAGTGAGGAACGCAAAACAAACCGCCGTTTCGACCCTTGTGACGCGTGACCCAACTCGCCTTGTTTTAACATGGCTTGTCGTCGTCGTCATCGCCCGTGCAATTCGCATCTCACAACCGCTGAGGAACCGCAGACCAACCTGGAAAGGCAGCCGGGCGGCAAACCGGGTGCCAGCAATTTCCAAAGCTCAGTGCAGTCCTCTGCATGTCGAAGATGTTTTCGGCGAAATTAACGGGCGTTTGTTCCAATGCGGGAGGTGAGCGCCCGGGGGAAAACCCACTTGTGAGGGGGGGGGGGGGGGGGCAACACTCCATCCCATACAGAAGGGACAGATAATATTAGTCCGCATTTTTCTGAATGGACTGTCTTCTATTGGCAAGCCAAGGCATGGCACCTTGACGCCCACGGGAAGGGAGTTTCGCCAATATTTGTGTAATCCACCAACCCACACTGCCTTCACAGTGCCGGATTACGGGCCACGTGCATGGCCACCACCCAACCACGCTGCCGTGGTCATGCACAGCAGAATTAGGTCGATTTTTCAAGTAAAATTGCAGCCAATTGCTGGTGCATCTAAAGAGGAATGGTGATGATCTTGTCGTGACAGCATGCTGGAGCTGGAGAAGGAAATCAACTTGGTTCGAGGGGGCCTCAAGGATGTGGAGAAGGTATTTTGTGTTTCACACACACGACTTGTGAACTCAATTCAACAAATTTCAGATTTCGCCTGGTGGCTCAGAGGTCTGAGCCAACAACCTCTAGGATCATGAGTTCTGATTTTGGTCTCAGCTGTCCACGTTTAAACCAGGTTCTCAGGCGTAATGAGTTGGTGGTCTCAGCCCGCTAACCATTAATTGGCAAAAATAACCTCATGAGGCAAATATTGCCTTTGCTCTTAATTTGACTAAATTCTCTTACTGAAAATTAAATAAATGTATCACTATAACGTGACGAATATTACTGTCTGATGGGGTGGGTGGAAGTGTGCTGCACCCTAGTGTGGATAAAAGGTCATTGCTAATATTTCAGAAACAGCTCTGTGGAAGCTCATTTTATTCCGTGGCCTACCAGAACACATGTGATTTGGGGAGGAGGTGTAAAGGCACACATTGGCTATTTCACATATGGCTGTGCATGTAGTCCATCTTAAGCATATGTGTCCCATGACCATGATTATTCAGGCTGAGTTGACCTAGGGGAGGCCCAGGACCGGTTCAGATAATCGTCACTGGTATTGGCCGCGAGCGGGAATTGAATTCGGGTTGCCAGGTTCATAGCACAGCGCGATCCACTACACGACCGCTGCCCACTACACACAACAACCGCCATTTGTCACTAAGTGGCGGTGATGTCACTACGGCACTTTTGCCAGACTTGGGCGCACTGAGGCCGCGTGAAGTATCGAAGGCTCGCTGGCAGGAGGTCTCGGGACATACCCAAGTGCCATGGGTTGCCTGACACACACGCACATATGCTCGCACACCAATTCATTCATGCACAATTATGCACTAACAAAATGTTGCCATTGCTTGAATCACACATCCTCTTAAAGAGGCACGTGTGTGTGTGTGAATGTCGCCTGCTCATTCGTGTCTGTGTCTCCCACCTGTCCCAGGAGTTGGATTTCCAGCGGGCACAGCCCGGGAGGCCAGACGATAAGTTTGTGTCGGTGATGAGCGACTTCATCACGGTGGCAAGCTTCAGTTTCTCAGAGGTGGACGACATCCTCTGTGAAGCCAAGGAACGGGTAAACTTTACAGATCAGGATGTCTTTTCAACCTTTGGAAGGACTCGCAGAGTCAAGGTTTATTGTTCACGAAGATCGACTTCGAATGTTTGGTGCGTTCCAAGTGGGGGTTTTTTTTTTTTTGGATCGGCGAGGATGAAGCTCACCGTCAGGAGATAGCCACATTGTTTTTGTTGTATGCCTCTTGGCTACGTACAGCGCGAAAAAAGTTCAACACACATACTTGCAGCTCTTGGGTAAAATCAAATGATTGGCGTGTTGGGTTTTTTCGACGGCGTTTTAGGAGCTTGTAAAGACTATCGCCAAGGTGCTACGTTTAGCAGTTGGCGCATAGTCAGCGTTAGTTTCTCAGTAGGGGGCGATATTGCTTCGTGGTTTTTATACAAGTGGGTAATTTTCAAGGAATTTTCAAATTTGGACGTGATGCCAGCACACGTGGCCTACTCTTTTTGCGAATAACTTTACGGGACCTTTTAGCGTCCGCTGTGAAGCCAACGGCGTGTCTTCACGGTAAGTACACGCTGCTCTAAATTAACCAGGGTGGTAGCTGGGCTCAAACTCCTCACCTCTAGCGACGAGTGGCAAGTGTCACTGCCCCGATTGAGTCTCAAGATGTCTGTGCACGAATGGGTGATGGAGGCTTCCGCGCGTGTTCCGGGCACACTGTGTTGTTCGTGCACGTGTGTGTGTGTATTGTTTTGGGGGAGCGGTAGTGCAGCGGTTAGCGCGCTGCGCAACGAACTTGGCAACCCGGGTTTAATTCCCGCTCACGGCCAAAATAAGTGCCGATTGTCTGAACTGGTCCTGGGCCTCCCTTAGGTCGACTCGGCTTGAAATGAGTACCTGGTGCGGTGTGTAAAACATCGGCACTGGGGAGACAGAGGCTACCGGGGCGTGGTGCTGTCCACACCACCCCCTCATAGGTGAGACTTTGCTGGCCTTAATCGGGTCTCGGTTATGTATGTATTGTGTATGTCTTGTGTATACATGTTATATTGTGCATGTATTATATTGAACTTTTGGCACCATACGTAGCCATCCGTCCTAATTGGAGGTGCGAGGGAAGAACAACAAACTAAACCAACAGAAAAACTGTTCTAAAGAAGTTAGTTTTTAATTTAGTGAACAGCACTTGCCCCAGCAAGCCTGTGTGTAGGCAAGGCAGGTCCTCTTCTTGCGTATGGCATTTTTGGTGATTGCAACACATCACAAATTGATGTCGAGATTTGATATCCGTCGAAAATTAACGACTGCCCAATCGGATCCGATTGGGCAGTCGTTTCCCGAGATGTCGCACCACCACCACCACCACGGTCACAAACTGGACTCTCGTTAATTTTACATTTATGGAGGAAGTGTCCCGAAGTCTTCCATGGAGTGTGATGGATCCGATTCGAGGAGGACGACCAGATCTCCCTTGGTAGGTCAGATCCGGGTTGGAGGCTCGTGTGGTTGCTGACGATGGATTCCTGCAGCACGTTGGTGTTTGCCCAGGCTTCTCCCCACCGTGCTTTGGTGGTCTTGTCCTCGTCATGGAGGTTCTTTGCATATTGACAGAGTTTTTTTTTTGGTATTTGTTTGAGCCTGTGCGGTGGTGGCACGGAGATGTCCTTGTTTATTGGGAGGTCTGTCTTTCTGATGGCCTTGTGGTACTTGCTCACACACGCGGCATTGCAGGCGGAGCTGCGGAGGAGCGATGTTGGCGAGGACCGGAGGAGGCTAGACAGGTGATCTTCGTTTTTGATTTGCGTGTGTGCGTGCGTGCGTGCGTGCGTGCGTGTGTGTGGTGCGCCCGTGCCAGTTCGACCGAGCGGTTCGACGATTCGGCGAGGAGAGCGGCCGCGCGCAGCCCGACGAGTTCTTCGGCGTCTTCGACCTCTTCCTGCAGGCGTTTGGCGACGCCCGCCTGGAGAACGAGCGCTCGCGACGGCGCAAGGAGGAGGAGGAGAAGCGCGCGCGTGCCGACGCCCAGGTACGGCCGCGCGGCGGCGGCGGCGGCGCCGGCGGCGAGTGGGCGAAGAGAAAACGGTTGCTCGGATTTTCCGTAATCGAGTACCACATTTGCGTGTCTGTGGGTCACCTCTTTGTGGCGAGCGGTAGTTTAGCGGTTAGCGCGCCGCGCTACGGACCCGACGAGCCAGAGTTCCATTCCCGCTAACGGCCACCAACACCAGCGGCGATTATCTGAACCGGCCTTGGGTCTCCCCTAGGTTGACTCGGCCTCAAATGAGTACCTGGTGCGATGTGTAAAAACATCGCCACTAGGGAGACAAAGGTGGCCGGGCGTGGTGCTGGCCACCCACCCCCACGTGCACCGTGGCCGGCCTCCATAGGTGCTACTCGCTAACAGCACTTGCCCCAACAGTCTGTCAAGGCTACACGGGGGATGTTTGTCTTTGTTGGTCATCTATAACCACTGTTAATGTGTGTTAATGTGTGTTCACTATAGGCGGTGTCCACTTGAGGTGGTGTCCACCATGGGCAGTGTCCACCATGTGCACAATCAGAATATGAATTTTTCCTGGAGGAATCCAATAAGCTATGAAGCTCTTTTTCACAAATGTCCAGTCGGGGTGGGTCAGAATGTTACAACAATAAACAAAAACGCAACAGGAGCACAAAGTGTAAGACTGGTAAACAAATCACGTAAAAAAATATACAAGTAAAACGGAACCATTTTTAAAATCTTAACAGGTAAAGCCCGGTGAGATATTAACTTATTTATCAAAAATTACTTGGCCGCAAATGATAGCTTAACAAAGTGGGCTTATCATGTGAAAATGTATAGCAGCAAAAGAATATCTTATAATCTATGGGTAGTGTCCACCCCGGGCAATGTCCAACATGGACGGGTGTCCACATCAGGTAGTGTTAGTGGTGAGATGCTAACTAACTCACCTGGTATGAAGGAGATCGTGGGTTCGATCCCGACCCAGACGCCTGTTGCATATTCGGAATTTGCATGCCTCTCTTCACCGTGGTAGCGTGGAGTTTTCGCCGCGAGATCCAGTTTTTCCCTCCGCATTAACAAAACATGCGCCTTGAGAAGTGGGGTGCACGCACGCCCTCGGGGTGCACGATGCCCTTTCTGGGGGTGCACGATGCCCTTTCTGGGGGTGCAAGACATGGCCAGATTTTTTTTGAAGGTCAATTATCGAAAGCACGAATGAAGCACGGCTTTGTTTCATCGAGCCCTGCGTATTTATTAACATAGTTTGTTTTAACGATTGAGCACCCAAGGGGTGCAGGGCTGCCTAGAGTACACACATGCATAAAGCCAAAGATCCCCCGTGTAGTCTTTGCTGGGGCAAGTGCTGTTAGCGAGCACCTATTAAGGCCAGCACAGCGCACGAGGGGGGGTGGGTGGCAAACAAAGACAAATACAAAGATTCCCCCATATAGCCTTTTAGCACTCTGTTGGGGCAAGTGCTGTTAGCGAACACCTAGGGTGGCCAACACACATGCACGCACACACATGCACACAGATGCACACAGATGAATGGTTCCATGGCAAGCGGCCTCACTCTAATATCCATCATATAGCCCGGACAGAGTGATGAGGGCTATGTTTGCCGTATTTAATAAATGACTCGGGGATCAAGAGGAATGGTCCTTGTTCTGGGGTGACAGCCTCGCTGAATTTAAAGTGGGCGACGTGCATTGCAATGAGAGCAGGTAATATTGGGAATCGGCGATAGGAGACAGTAGTTGCGTCTCACGGACGTCCGTGCAGTGTGCCTGCTTGCTTGCGCGTGCGTATGCGTTGCATGTGTGTGCTCCCTGACAGCAGCACTTGCCCCAGCATTCCGTCAAGGCTATACGGGGGTGGGGGGGGGTGTGCCTTTGTCTTTTTGCGCTTGCGTTCACGGCAGCTCAAGGAGCAGCGCGAGCGCGAGCGGAAGGCGCGCAAGACGAAGGCGGGCTCTTGCGACGAGGGCGGCGGGGAGTTCGACGACCTCGTGTCGGCCCTGCGCTCCGGCGAGGTCTTCGACAGAGCCGACCTCGTCAAGATGAAGCGCAACCGCCGCCGCCCGGGCACCCAGCTCGCCGACGCCGGGCGCGAGCGACCGCTCGCGAAGCTCAACTTCTGAAGACGCCTCCCTCCGCGTCGTCTCCCGATGTGCCGCCCCCTCCTGCCGCCAACCCTCCCCCCCCCCCCCCCCCCCCCCCCCGCGCTCCTCTCTTAACCGCGGCCACTTTGGCCAAAGTTCACCGCTCCGCGAGCTCGGTGGCACGGAGGCCGCCGGCGCTCGGTCGATTAGTTTTGACGTCTGCGGACGTCCCTGTGAGCGCCTCCGCAAAAAGGGTGTCAACCCCGCCAGGTTGCAGCTCGCGTTGACGCTCGATTACAAAGCTCGTGCTCTCCCGGCCGTAGCCTGAAACGAGAGCTTCCCCAGCTTGCTCTTAATTCGCGTGCGCCGAGCAAGTTACCATGTTCGTTGGTGGGTCATGAGCTCAGTTCCACGTTGCTTTGGCGGAACCCAGTCCGTCCTTGCCACCCCCGCTGCTCAGAATAGTGGAGGCTCAGTGAGTGGTATTTTTTTTTTTACCGACCCTACAGGCAAATTGATCATTTACTTCGGTGGTGCAATTAAGCCATAACCTGGAGAGTCAAATCGCTACCGTCATGATCACAAACTTCACACCGAAACGTTTCCCTTGGCTTGATCTATATGAGGATTGTTTGTTCTCAATAAGTCACAGTTTCCATTCGTCAAAGGCAACAACTATTTAAACATGCTCCCTGATATAATGTTTTGAAGCCTCATTCGTCCAGCCATCGAAAAATCTATGAAATCCTAAAGTAGGTTTGCTCATTGGGTTTTGCTGAGCATTTCTCATCAACATAAATCATCATCGTTATGATTATTAGCCATGGGATCCATCCACTACTCGATGAAGGCCCTCCCCCAAGCCGCCACCATCTCTCTGCAGTGGAATAATCCACCTCGTCGCCTGCACTGCAGACGTGAAACCGATTTCTACGCTCCATCCCGTCGGTGGACGGCCTGCTTGGACGCTTCCCTTTCCCCGTCTGCCACTCCGCTGTCATCCTCGACCGTCGGCCCATCCGTCTTTTAATCGCAAACGTGCCCTGCCCGAGACCCACCTTGCTTGCGTCGGCTTCACGGTGTTGTACAAAGTGTCGGACTGCATTCGGGTGACTTTTGCTCCGCAATCCCCGTGCCGCCAAAAGACGCCGAAAACGGTCGGAGTTTGATTTTTTTTTTCCTGTAAAGAAACGAGGAACCGTGTTCGCGTCGTCGATAGCTGGAGACTCGGCGGGGGGGAAGAGGGGGGGGGGAATGAGGCGCGATGAAGAACGGCGGGCAACTTGGGACATCGTCGCAACATGCAAATCATTGCTGAAGACCCCCGCACCCACGTGATTACATCATTCCGTCGCCGCCGCAGGATAAAAGATTTTCCAACCAAATAGCGATGCAAAGATGACTTCACCTTTCATACGTTGTTTGTCACGCGATGTATACGGTGTATATATATTTTTTATATTATTTGGGATTGTGTTTTTTTTATTTTTACGTGCATAGGTGGTGTGAAGTCGATTCAACGGTGTCGATTAAACTCGGTCATCTTTTCCAAATATATATTGAAAAAAACACGAGCTCTACAACAGACACGAGGGTAATCAGACAAGCGGATGGAAGCGTCTCAACCAAAGTAATGTGGGGAGGATTTGTGCCACGCAAGCAAACGGAAATCGTCGCCCCCTTGGCTGGGGAGGGGGCTGCTTTTTTGTTCATGCAATAACAAAACAAAATATTGGCATCCGAGAAGTTGGAACTCTCCGATGTCAGGTCGACTGCGTGCAAGTGATTTATCGAGCAGCTGTGAAAATAAATGCTGCATTGGGGCGACTTTCAACAGAAGACTCTCAACAAAAAAACAAAAGCAACGAAAACATCACGAGTGCCTCTTCGCACTCGACGGTTTCACGTAATCGATACGAAAATACGTTCTGATTTGACGGAGGCTTGGGTCCCACTTTGCGTGCGCGGTGTTGTTGTTGTTAGACGGTGCATGTGTCTCGGAGTGTTTTCTACGGAAGGGTTATTGCATGCTCTTAATCGTACAAGAGACGATAGGGTAGTTGGGATTAACGCAGATTTCGCCTCTTAGGTTAAGCTCTGGATATTTACTCGGTGGAATGACGGAAACCTTTCTCGTCACGAATCCAGCTTTTATTCCCATTGCAATGAAATGGTAGTACCCCCGATTGGCTGCAGGGGTGATGTAAAGTAAACTTATTGCGTACAACATGCACGCATTGATGCATCGACGGGCACACCCCACCCTCTCTTACAATTTGGTGCGAAAAACGCCAACGTTACTTCATTTGCAATTGAGACCAAAGAGATGTTGGAAGAATTGGGCAGCTGGGTAACTTGGCGGTCATAGTGCATTGCAGAATGCGTTGGCTTTTGTGAGATTGATGGTTCAATTCCTGCCACTATCGAGTCATTTCTCAGTCGAAATTCAATTTCTGAGTCGGTATTACCATGTGGTCCTGTCTGCTGTAAAGTGTACTATAATTAACGATCCTGAGGAATGATTTGCACGAGTGGTGTGCTGTAGTCTCATGAGCTCAAGTTTTTGTTAATTAACCTGCAACTACATTTTAAGAAAGAACATCGAGTCTCTATCCGTGGCTTCTCAGGCCTTTCCAGATAATGAATTTGGATTGACTGCAATCATAATTCAATTTAAATTGCATCCAGCAATTGATCATCCAGATGTGCGCCGATTTCTTGCGATGTTACCGGTGTATTTCATATTCAGTTTGGCAATAAAAGAACCAGAGCTCAGATCTGGGCCACTGCACAGATTAATGTTGATATGAAAGTGTAGCCTATATTGTTTCAGTCTGATCGTGCACACAAAAAACACCGCATTGAATGCATGTAACGTCGTTCTTGATTTGATTTATCCAAACCAAATGAGCGATCACATTTTATAGTTTAGATGGAGTGCTCTTGCCAATAAAAGCTGGAAACCCGGCATCATTTGTTTCACAAACCTAACTGCTCGTGAGACCCAGAATGTCAATACCCGTGCAGACTTTGCTTACTTTAAAAAAAAATGCGTCTGGATGTTACTTGTCTCGACAGCCGTGGGCTGATGGACGCAACACATTTGTATTCACGTGTGGAGGCGCAGGAGTTCTGCTTCAATAAGCTTTCACCCGTAAAATGTACGCATATCGCACGCATCTGCACGGTGTGAAGGAACGCTGTTGGGTGTGTCGAGTGCGGCCCATTGACGAGATACGTCTTCGGAGAATACTGTGATGTCCCTTCCAGAGATATCCTCCATTGCTAGAGGGTTGGTGTATCGCACAAATGATGCGAAACTCTTTCTGGGCGTCAGGGCGTCCATTGCCTGGTTCGGCAGAAGACGGTACAGCAAAGTGCGGACTAAAATCACGAAAGCTTCAAATCTAGAATTAAAATCATCTGTCCCAATCTGTACGGGGGATAGAGTGTTGCCCCCTCGCATGCGTGGGTTTTCTCCGGGCGCTCCGGTTTTGTCCCACATGTTTAAACACTGGTTAATTGGATGAAAACATCGTAATATATAGAGGACTGCAGAGCTTGGGCAATTGTTGGTGCCAGCTCATCGCCTGGCCGCTGCCTTCCAGTTTTTTTGTGTGGTTCCTCGGCATTTATGAGATGCAGTTGGCGTGAGATGACGCGATATAAAACTGATTATTATCGTTTTAAAGTCAGCAGGGCTCCACCGTAACGTGTGGGTGATCCGGTGATTTTGTGGCTACTTTGCTTTGTGCCTTGTACTGATGCGATTGGCACGATTGGGGATGTAAAGTGGTGCCAAGGGGAGGATGCCGTTACCACTAAAGGCCTTATTTGGTAGCATTCACGGCCTTCTTAAAATGGGTCGCGTGAAGTACAATGGCTTACCAATACTTTGCGTCGTTATGAAACTCCAGTGGCTTCTACGTGCAGTGGCGAATGTGATGTCTATGGGGGGGCGGGGGGGGGGAGGCCTTGTGACGATACACACGTGCATAGCTCTCCGATGTGATTTCTGGAGTCGTATCGCGGGATTGTCACAAATCCCACCAACTCCTTTTCGTTTCGTGTGTTTAGTGTTGTGGTCCTTCCCCTGCAACCTCCGATTTGGCACGGTGGGAAATAAATGCAGCATACATACGTACACGATGGTCGGACGTTTCGCTCAGTCAGAGTCCTGGGAGCTTCGGTTCGTGAAATCTTGTTCGGCGCCCTGAAGTAGCTCCCAGCACGTGGCAGCGAAGCGTCGGACATCGTGACAAACAACCGCGCATTTGCATTGGACGTTGTAGAAGTAACCGGATATTGAAAAAAAAACGGATTTTGTTGGCTCGTTTTAAATGCAAGATCTAAATGCCCTGCTGAAAATGGTTATTACTTGGTGGCGAAAAAGAAAGTCGTCCAAAAATGTACGTTTTCAAATGTGTGTTAAAGGTTTTATTGCTAATTGCAAAAATAAATGAGTGTGCTGTCATTTCCATCACCAGCTATGCAATGGCTGCTCATATATGCACACGGAAATTTGGAGGGGGGGGGGAAATCCGAGGCCTTTGTGGCAACCACAATTTTTTTCGGAGAATGTTGCATCCATCTTAAATCCCCCTCTCCTCTGCGCTGTAAAGGGCCGAATTGCCTGAAAATATTGGCAGCCTAAGGCCACTGCCTTGTCATAACGGCGACGAAGTGATTTTCAGCTTGTTTTTGGGGGGGGGGGGGCAACGTCTCTCTTCCAAATCCTTTTTGGATACCCACTTGCTCTCCCAGCGTGTTCATGCTGAGGAGCTCTAGCAATGCAGAGCAAACGTGGCTTTTTGGAAAAACTAGATTGAGGCCTGGTTTCAGGCCATTGGTGAGGGTTTTTACCGGATCCTTAAAGTCCATTTGGCCCAAGAATGTCTTCGTTGTTGGTGTTGCCACCCAGGGTGGCAAATGCAAAATGGTGAATCTCTTGGGAGGCGTTTTCAATTCACGGGCAACATAACTGACCGCCCCAGCAAACGCAAAACGCGTTTCGCTGTCGCAATTTCGTCTTCACGTAGACAAAGTTGTTTGGTCATTCAATTATCTATTCGTCAATCACTTGAGAGATTGAACTCTGATGAAACAATAAGAATAGGGCTTACCCTTTCTGGCAATATAAAACAGGTATTAAGATGTTCAAACGCCGAATAGATACCAAGGGACACCGATGTAGGAAAGTGATAATTCTATTCATCATCTCTTCGTTAACCAGGCGAGACGCATTATCTCTTCCAAAGGAGACCTATGTCGCCGTGTTACTTTGGTCGTTCAGTTAAATATCTCTTGGTCAACCAGGTAGAGAAACATTATCCCTTGTGAAGGAGGCCGGACTGTCGATTATAGTAACTGTAATTAATTCTGCTGTTCTGCTTGTACTTTAACCCAAGCGTTGGGGGTTTGACTCGGACCGTTTTTGATGTAAAATGAAGCGAGATGTTGAGTGGGGGGGGGGGGACATCGGTGGGGTGGGGGGTACGGGGGTGAGGTTTGGGGAAAAGAAACACTGTGCTCTTTTGCTGCATAAAGTGCAAAATGTAAATGTCTTATATTTAAAAAAAAAACATTAAGCAAAACTGTAGCATTTATAGGCAATGCATAATAACACCCCCTCCTCTCCCCCCCGTTGTTTTCTGCAGAATACAAATAGTGCATGCACTGAACGACTTCACGACGACGCTTGTTTTGCGCTTGAGTGAAACGGGAGAGCGACTCGATTTAAGAGGCCGACGGGGAGAGTGGAAAAGGGGGCAACGCTTAGCGGGACACAGTCGGTTTTTGTTCCATTGTTGCGGTACGAACCGAACATTGGGGCTGGCGTTTTATTAAAATACATCATCGCGGGTATTTGCGAACGCACGGTCATTCATAGATCACACTCTGCGCGCATGTGGTTCATTTGTTAACCGAAAGTCCGCATTGTCGTGGGGGGTGGGGGACAGGCGTTGGCCGGCGGCAGGGGTTAGAGGCAGTGCTGTGCGGATCCCCCACGTCACAGGGGTCACCAAACTACGGCCCGCGGGCCGAATCCGGCCCGCGACGTCAGTCCATCAGGCCCGCCGTCAGAGCCTACGCTCTGACGTTGCCATGGTTTCCGTGGCAACACACACAAACACGCATCTATCCCGCACCCAAGTATTGACCAGGATGATTATGCGGCCCGCGCTCGTCATTCTATCAGTTATCCGGCCCCGCTGTGAAAAAAAGTTTGGCGACCCCTGCCTCACGAGGTTGGAACCAATGTCGGAGCTGCGTTATTGTAACTTTTGCTGCGATTTAACACCCCCCCCCCCCCCGGGGAGGCTTTCGCGACCAAATATCACGCATAATACAGGTTTTTATTTTGGGTTAGATGGTGTAAATATATAAATGTGTCGTTAAACCCGCCACCACTTCGCACAGCCAATTACTGGCGAAACGTCGTACTCAGATTGTAAATGTTGCGGCTTTGCTCTCCAACGCACCGGTGTGCTGTACTAGTAACGAATTGGCATGTTCTGTTTACGTGACACCTTACTAATTGGCTGTCGGGTGGTGGTGGGTTTAACGACACTTACGCGATCTTACCCCCCAAAAAACCCGTATTATACTGCTGTGATGTTTTACAACGGGGAAAAAACTGATTTGAGATTCATCTGTTGCTGGTGGATAAAACAACTAAAACCATACTGGCGAATTATGCATGTCCACGTGCTCTTAGGTGGTATTTTGTGTTTTTGGTGTCATGATGACCCTCATGCCAATGCCACCTGAATATCCATGAGTTTTTTTTGGACAAGATCGCGTAAATAGAAGTGTCGTTAAACCCGCCACCACCCGACACGGCCAATTTGTAAAGGTTTGTCACGTAAACAGAGCGTGCCGATTCGTTACTCTCCAACACACCGGGTGTGCTGAACCGGGTGTGCCGAACTAGCTGTGTCGGGTGGTGGCGGAGTCTAGCGACACATTTATATTTCACGCGATCCAACCTTAAAACCCCTGAAGAATTTGTTTTCACACATTAACCGTGCGACGTAGCAACTCTACCCCCCAGCCCCCCAAAAAATAAAACGCTGCAAATAAGTTGGAGAGGTTTAAACGCGTTGACGTAATGTAACGGTGTGAAGTGCAACTTTGGCCGACACATTTGACATTCGCGTGCCAGTGTCCTTCGAAATTAAAGGCAACAAAATAATGTTTTTTTTTCGTTCCTACACAGCACACCAATTAGTGTTTTTGTTTGTCGAGTACCTAGTAAAGCATCACCGAGACGCTCAAGCATCGCTTGGGATGTTTGGCCAATTATTTTCTCGGGAGGCGGAATGGGGGGGGGGGGAGTGCCGGTGGGTGGTTTACGTCTATGCGAGTTGTAAGCAAAAAAAACAAAATGCCTCCGCATTTGTGTCATCGTTCCAATAAGTGTGAGGCCCGTCCACCTGCAGTGGCGTTGAGCGAGCGATAGCTGAGCTGCGGCCTTTGTCTGTTTTATAATGCATCGCCAGGTGGCAGTACACATTGTTTAAAAAAAACAATAATCGCCCTGAGCAGGACGAGCATTTTGTCTTCGTAAAAAGGACTCATTTCCATGGGTTTTTTTTGTGCAGCGTCGCAATTGCTTTTAACATTCCGCGGTTTTTACGACTCCGTAACTCGGCATTCCGAGCCTCCTTGGAGGCCGCTGTTGTTCCCCCCCCCCACAACCAAGAACAAAATAGTTTAGATAGAAAAAAAAGAGAGCTTCATTTGCAGGCAGGTGTCAGTCAAATGACTGCCTGCCAGTTCACATTCCGTATCGGGTGCACTTTTTCTTTCTCAATTTGTTTGAATTAAAATAATTTGCGCGTTTTGACTCACCAACTTCATCCCCGCCCACCCCCCCCCCCCCCCCCAAATCACGGTTACGCCGTGCAACTTTCCGATGTTACCACGCGTGTCGCTCGGCACGAAGTCTGACGCGTGTCGCCCCTACATGCCGGGGGAGGGGGGGCTTCTTCAGGAACCGAAGCCGCTCAAGCTTCATCTCTCGAGCGCTCATATCAGTTCCTGGAGGAAGTCCCCCGGCACGCGCAGAGGAACGTCGATTAACGATGCCGAGCGCGTCGCGCGGTACAACCCGAGGACACTTCGGAGGGAGGGGGCTGCGCTAATTGAATTAGCCGTGGAAATGTATTTCCATACGTCCTGCAAGTTTTTGATTCCATTGGCATATGTGTGTGGACGGCGCACGTGTCGGCGACGGCCACATTCGAACGCGTGCATTGTTTAATCCCAAGTACGCAGAGTACTCTGTAAAACAAAAGTCTCTACAAATGGTATATCCGTGTCTTTGCCAAATATTTTTGCCGTTTATGTAACGCCGAGTTTTTGGATACCGGTTGCATGCTATGCATGTGTCTCTGCATATATGTACCGCCCACAATGTACAGTTGTGTCATTACTATTTAACTTGTCGGTGCATATGGGAAAAAAAAACAGTTGCATCTGCATTTATACATTCAGGCAAAGCTTACACATTAAATTAGTACACGACAACAAAAAACATATTTTCACATGCAAATGAACCGTGGTTGTATGTTTGATTTAATCGGGCAATAATTTGTGCAGATTTTTTTTTTTACACACAACACAGCTCCAGTGCACTCGCAATAGAGGCTGTAAATTAAGGTGTCTTTTTTAAACCAAGTCAGACCAGCAACAAAAACTAAGCAAAAAGTGTGTCTCAACCCTGTCCACATTGTGCACGTGTTCAAGCCGACGCAAATATGTTTTGCTGTTGTTGATGCAAGTGTGTGGTCTTTTCGCAGGCACGCCGACATTGTTGTGAACCCTTTGCACAGGTAACGGCAGTGTGTGACGTGAATGAACACAACGGACCCTAATTTCTCACTCGATCCGGAACGCTGCTATACGCTCGTTTGGAGTCGGGATAATCGGCACAAGGCACCAACCACCCAGATTACGGGCTCTACATATCGATCATCTAATATAGCACTATATAGAGTGCTGTAATTCGATCGAAAAGGGTCTACAACAGTGGTTCTTAACCTGGGGTGCGAGATGCCCTATCTGGGGGGGGGGGGGGGCGGGGGGGGGTGGTGCGAGACGTGGCCAGAATTTTTTAGAAGGTAAATAATCGAAAACACAAATTAAGCCCGGCACGTAAGTTACAACTACTTTGTTCCATCAAACCCCTGCGTGTATTTATTAACATTGTACATTGTTTTACGATTGAGAACCTCAAGGGGGGCGGGGGGGGGGGTGCAAGCTTGCAGTGAAGGTTAAGAACCATTGGCCTCTACGAATATAGGGGTACGACGGGAGCTCGTGCCGGTTGAAGCTAGTGCGGGGCCTGCAGCAAATGTTAAAGGGGCCCTAAATTTTTTTTTAAAAAAGCACGTAAATATTAAAACTTTTTTTACTTGCATAGTAAAATTGCATTTTTTCATTTGCCATACAGCCAGATACGACAAATCGCTAACCTTA